TTTTTCAAAAAAAAAAAAAAAAAAAAAAAAGATGATGATAATGATATGAGAGGAAGTGTTTTGGTAAGCACTGTGATTAAAGATTAGACAAGGGATTAAGTTTTGAGTCAGACATAAAGGGTGACCAGTTTTCTTTTCTCGAATCTGACACACAACACGTGAAGAAACAAGTCCTTTGGTAGTGTGGTTAACTTTATTTCCCACCTTTATTTGGTTATCTGTGCATGTGACCATTATTGGTCGTATCCCTTGACTCATTCCTTCACAGTTCACACACATGACACATACACACAGTGTGTGTATTTATACACAGTTCTGTATTTCTCATGTCTACTTGTGTCCAAATGTCAATCTCTCTCAAGTTCCTTCTTTGCTCATCTCTTGCTCTCTTGCTTCTTCTTCAAACAGGTAATAACTTCAAAACTTACAAAACTTTAACAATATATACAGACATATGAGTGGTGGATGTATCTCTCTGTATGTAGGGTTTGGAGAAAAATGTGACAGCAAAAGCAGTGAACCAACGGTGAGACAGACGCAGGTGAAGTTGGGAGAAGGAAAGAAGTTCAGAGTTGAAGTGATGAACAAATGTCCAATGTGTCCTATCATCAACCTTCGTCTGAAATGTCAAGGGTTTCCTCAGTCGCTTGTGGACCCTAAACTCCTCCGTGTTCTCTCCACTTCCGCCGGAAACTGTGTGGTTAACGACGGCTTGCCGTTGAGTCCAATGGAGACTCTCTCTTTCAACTACTCCAACTCATACCAGTTTGCTCTGCGTCCTCTTTCTTGGTCTTTTCAATGCGAGTGAATCATCAATAAAATATTTAAAAATCAATACAAGACTCTCTTTTTTACCATTTGAGTTAGCAATAAGTTGTCTCTACTATAAGCTATATAAGCTGGTTGTGGTGATATGATGATCTCATCCTCCACCAAGAACACATGAGACTCTAGAAGTGATCATGGAAACTGTTTAACTTAAGCAACAAGAAGACTATAGACAAACACTGACAAGCTTAGATCAGAGTTTCCATGAGAACAAACAACAACAAAAACTCGACAACAAACTTTATATAATAAACGAACTGAAACATCATTAGCAAACCCACATTAATGTCTCATTGCTTTCTCTATTTTTTTACACACATTCGGCAAATATCATAATTGAATAAGGTATTAGTTACATACAGGAAAATATAAGTTCTACAGGGACCAAGCCCTAGACAAAAAGAAGCAACACACAAGCAATTTCATTTCACTTATTACATAAACACTTGTCGAGTTGAAAGCAAGAGACTTGAGAACAACGGAAGACTTACGAGGAGGAAGAGGAAGGTGCAGTGGAAGGGTTGAATGCTTTCTGCTCAGCGCAGCTGAGCTCCTCATTTGGCCCTGCGTCTTCTCTTCCAATACCCAAGAGGTCAAGAAAGTATAAGTAGTGAGAGACTATGTTATTCATTGGCTCAATGTCACCTTGACCACATGTGTACTCTCCGTACAAGACGTTCATGGTGGTACCAAAAGTGGGGCCACGTTTGGACAAAGTATCATTTTTCGTTGGTTTCCAGTTTCCAACAAAGATATCGTGAGCTGAAGGCTGAGCTTTCTTGATTGGTGTCATCCATCTCCAGATTGCTGCTTGGAAGGCAAGCGTGGCGTTCTGCTCGATGTACTCGGGGTGGTTCAACAGATCAACTTTTAGGGCTTCTCCAGCTGCACCGTAGTTGAAGTTCCTTCGTATAAACACAAGTCAAAAATACTTAACCTTCTGAGATCCTTTGGTAGATAATAACGTAAATTGTTTGATCTAAAATGAGTACCAGTAAATGGGTAAAGCACCACGTCCGTAGTATTCAGCTCCAGGGCTGCAAGGGTACTTGAACTTCCAGGACTCATCACAGTAAGATTGGCTTGGGCTCATCTCCCTGTTGTAGCACAGACCCCAAGCTAAAGGCCCTCCTGTTGCAACTCCGTAGCCACCTATATAAGACAACACAGTAACAATCATGCTAATGCAAAGCTGCTTGTTACTACATAGAAACCACAAAATCTATCTAAAGAATGCCACAAAAAGCTATGGAGCTTAGCTAAAAGCATATACTCTTTATACTCATACCAGCATCAGAAAAAGGTTCTGTTTTCAATGGCCAATCATGAAAAAATGACATATGCTTTATACATAGCTCAATTAGGTACACAAGTCATTCCTTTAATGGTATTTCATAGAAATAAAACCAAAGCTTTAAGGCCATGGAAGAAAACTTACAGGACGTTTTGCTGGCGACATGACCGAGGAACGCAGCCATTTCTTTCTGTCCCATAAGCTTTCCACCAGTGGTACCAAACCCAAGAGGCTCATAGAGAGCAGCAGCGGTAATGAAAGACTGGTAGTCCCAGAAACCAACAGCATGAGCCACAGGAGTGTTTCTTTTGGCAAAGAGCTGCTCAAACTGATACACCTGAAAGTAATCTGAGATTGTCTCGTTACAGCAGTATTCAGACCACCAGACACATTCCCATCCTTGGGTGCACACCTTCTTTCCCTTCATTTTCTTCACTTTAATCGTTTTGTCTTCCCCATTAGCAACCAAAGCCAAGCACGATACAGCAAGCAGAACTAGAATAAACACTGAAGCGCTCCGGATAGTAACCATAGCTTTACAACTATGTAGCAAAACTACAATATCATACAAAAAGATAATTAGACTTGAATTGTTCAAAAAATAGAAACTTTTTTTTTCATTCTTCCTAATATACAAGTGTTACTCTTGAAAATACTATAAATAAATGAACTTCAACGTCTTATTCTCCAGTAGATAATAAACTCTGACTCAACAAGAAGTAAGAGAACATGCTAAAACGAAACACATTAAACCCAGCTAGCTAAAAGCTGAAGATATCGAATTAAACCTCGAAACGAATGCAATCAGCCAATTTGCAGAAAAACTACAATATCATAGAAAAAAATAATTAGACTTGAATTGTTCAAAAAATAGAAACTTTTTTTTTAATTCTTCCTAATAAGCAAGTGTTACTCTTGAATATACTATAAAGAAATGAACTCCAACGTCATATTCTCCAGTAGATAATAAACTCTGACCATATATAATAAATCTAGACTCAGTTAAGAAGCATGAGAACATGCTAAAACCAAACACATTAAAATCCAACAAGCTAATACACATTAAATCGAATTAAACCTCGAAAAGATTGCAATCATCAAATGTAGAGAATTTAATCAGCCACAAGCAAAATTGGAAAGGATTATAATCTCAATTAAAATGTGAATGTCTATCAGAGATTATCAGAGCACGAAATCAATAATGAATCAGCTACACAGAACTCTCGAGATTAGCTGTGATTATCTACCAATATTAGACTAAGTAGTTGAGTAATTGCGTTTACCTGCAATGCGGACAAGCTTTAGATCTAGAGAGACCGAGAGAATTCTAGTTGTGCTTCAACGGGACAAGAACTAGTTTTTTCTTGTTTCGTTGTCGTGAAATTAAGAGATTCTCAAAGGGAAGGATTAAACTAAAAGCTGGTGACGGATCAGCGGTCTCTATCAACCGTTGGATTAGAGTGTAAGCAACGGTGACGATTGCGTTTGGTGAGATGAATTGTGTCGGTATGAGAAGACAGGCTGGTAAGTGTTGTGGACCCTACTTAAGTGAAGTGGCACCTTCCACCGACAGCTGACCTGTCAATTTAACTTAACCGAACCGATTCGGTTTAATTTCGTTTCGATCTACACTTTTGGGCTATTTTTAACGGCCCAATGGGCCTTTAATACAGGCCTTTTTGTGAATGGTATAATAATATATCAAGAGGCGGCGATTCATCTCCTCTCTCTATTTCTCTCCTCCTCCAGACTTTCTCTCTCATCGCCGTGAGAATGGCGTCTGGTTCGAAGCAAAACCCTTCATCTTCAAAACCTCCAAGGCACCCGTTTACAATCTCCGCCTCAACCCCCAATAAAGCCTCTGTGGCGGAAGAATCTCAATTTCGAAACCCTAGCACAAGCGTCTCACCGATTACGATGTCACCGGAGGATCAGATCCTCGGAAACTCCACACACCTAACACGCCCCGAGCTTCTCCGACGAAGATCGCACAACCTGAAGCAGCTAGCGAAATGCTACAGAGACCATTACTGGGCTTTAATGGAGGATCTCAAGGCCCAACACAGAGAGTATTATTGGAAGTATGGTGTTAGTCCTTTCAAAGAAGAGAATCAAAACAAGAGACGTAAGGTTGATGGTGGGGATGAAGTTGTTGCTGTTGAAGGTAGTGGAGACAATAACGATAACAACAACAACAATGGTGTGAAGAGTAGTGATCACTGTGTTGCTTGTGGTAATGGATGCAAGTCAAAGGCTATGCCACTTACGAATTACTGTCAGCTTCATATCTTGTCGGATAAAAAACAGAAGCTTTATACTTCTTGCACTTTCGTCAATAAAAAGTTAGTTTTCACAAGTTGGTTATTTTTTTTTTATTCAATTGCTAGTTTGTGATGATGTGGAACATAATTGGTTTATACTGGCTTTGTCTGAATGGAAAGTAAGTTGCTTTGGTCGGAGTGTAATGGGTGAAGAAACCGTAATTTCTAAATAAGGACTTGGCTATTGTCTCCATTTTGCTATAGGGATACGGTTAGGATTATGTGCGTGGTTAGTTCATCTTGAAGTTCAAACTGTTAAATAGACCAGATCTTCTTGAAGTTTTGTCTTGCGGGTGGGGAATTGAATTTAACTTTGCTTCGGTTTTGTGTGTAATGTAATTGACTGTTGTCTCCTTTTGTGTCTTTTGCGGTAGAGATGTGGTTAGGATTCTGTGTTAAATTAGATCGTCCTGAAGGTCTAACTGTAATTAGACCATCTTTGTTATTACATTAGTGCAACTAGCATGTGATGATAACTTAAACCAGCTCTATACTAACTTGGTGTTGTTATATTGGTATATGCAGAGCTCAGTCAAAAGCAATAACATGTCCAAAACCGCTACCCTTTTATTTATAGTTACTTCTCTTGCTAGTTTGTGATGTTGTGAAACACAATTGGTTCATACTGGCTTTGTCTGAATTGAAAGTAACTTGCTTTGGTCCGAGTGTAATAGGCAAAGAAACCGTAATTTCCAATTAAGGACTTGCTTGACTATTGTCTTCATTTCGCTATAGAGATAGGGTTAGGATTATGTGCGTGGTTAGACCAGATCTTCTTGAAGTTTTGTCTTGGGGGTGAGGAATTGAATTTAACTTTGCTTCGGTTTTGAGTGTAATGGAATTGACTGTTGTCTCCTTTTGTGTCTTTTGCGGTAGAGATGTGGTTAGGATTCTGTGCGTAATTAGATCTTCCTGAAGTTCTAACTATAATTAGACCATCTTTTGTTATTACATTATCTGAAATTTTGTGTTCTGAAGTGCAAGTAGCATGTGATGATTACTTAGCGAGCTCTGTACTAACTTGGTGTTGTTTTATTGGTATATGCAGAGCTCAGTCGAAAGCAATAACATGTCCAAAACCAACACTTGCGTCGACCCTTCCCGCCTTGTGTAATGCGCATTTCCAGAAAGCCCAAAAGGAAGTTGCACGAGCTTTGAAAGATGCTGGTCATAATGTTTCTTCTTCAACAAATAGGCCTCCACCGAAACTCCATGACATTGTAGCTGCCTTTGTGCATCATATTCAAACAAAGAGAAAAAGTGTTCAGAAAGATGGGAAGCTAAAAAGCTTTGTCAAAGAAGAAATTTAAATGGCAGAGTTCAGAAGAGTGCAGAGAAGAAATAACTTGTTTCCACGATTGTGCAAAAAAAATGGAAGGTAAGATAACAAGCGTAATGTATTCATAAATGAGAGAGAGACGTGTAGCTGATTCTAATAGACAGATACTCAACTATGTGTTGCATCATCATGAAGAAAGTTTTATTTTGTAGTTTAGATTTTGGTTACACTAGACATGTTGTAGATCTTTCGTTTTCTTTGTAAATCTTAGGCAGAGCAACGCTGCTTCTAAGGTTTCTTGTGGTATTTTCATTCTATTTTGCCGTGAATGGAGAGCTGACAGTCAAATTCCAATAAGTTCCGACATTAAGACAGAACACTATCACAGTGTCGACATTAAGACAGAACTTTTTCTTTGGTCGACATTAAGACAGAACTAATACGATTACAAAACTGAACATTTAAAAACAAATAAGTATTTCCATTTTTTTTTCCAACTTGAAAAAATCAACTTCAAAGCCAAGAGTGGGTAGAAAAACTTATCAATCTCATCTACTCGTTTTCTGAATCGCCGACTCAGCGATTCAGAATCTAAACCTACAAAATTTCATTGATCAAACCTTCCTTTTACGAGATTCTCTCTCCTATCCTATAAAGCAGGAACCTTTTTCTTTTTAACGAAACCTCAAACCCTAACTTTGAGCAGCAGCTACAAAGGGAATCAAGGGTTTGGTCTGATTCCTTGTAAAGCTCAAACCTTTATAGAGAATTATCTATTGGGTTTCCTCCGATCATGGATTCCGAGGATGATCTGAACTATATGGAATCAGGAGAGGAGGATGGGTTTTACAGCGGCGAGACCGATGATTATTACAACGAGAGCGATGGTGATGAACCTGATTATGGGTTTGTGGAGGAAGATGTGGATGACTCCGTGATGATCGCATCGCATCGGTCTCAGGTGGGTTTGTGTTTAGGAGGAAAGACACTTTAGTTTGTTTGGGGGTTTGTTGTCTTTAGGATGATTTAGTGTTGATTACTTCATTTGATTGTAAGCTATTACTAATGTCTGTTTAAAGTTTGCAACTTTTTACCGTTTTGAGTTGTTTTAGTTTTTCTTAGAATTGCTTTAGCTAAAAAGATGTTTTATGGTTCGACTTTTTTCCTGTTTTGTTCATGAAATGACTCTAGTCTTAGGCTCGTTGCTATTGATTGTTTTCTTTTAAAACCTAGATTTGTAGCAGCTAGATGGAAATGCAGTGATTGTTAGATTCTTTGTGTATTCTTTTTTTTTTAAATCCTGGTTCCATGCTCATTGTTTAGTCCTTTGCTATAGCTGATTAGTCTTTCCCAAATTACTCACTAAACTACCTAGTTACTGAATTTCTTATATCTACCATGGAGTTACTGCGTTGAATGGTTGATTGGTTTTCTGTATATGTATTTCACATTTGGTCTTATTTTACTGTGACCATTGTCTCACTGTTGTTGTAATGATGCTACCTTCCAGATAAATTATATTGTTCTCAAGGAAGAAGACATCCGCAAGCATCAGAAAGATAACATTGGACAAGTTTCCATGGTCCTCTCCATAACAGAGGTGGAAGCAAGCATTCTGCTCCTTCACTATCACTGGTAAAATACCCTTGACTTGTACCGTATGATTTTGTTATCAATCACTTTCTCTTATAAATTCAATTATATATATCTGCTATATTGTTGGTCCTCAAAACAATGTTTCAAAACGACTTTTCTCTTCTTCTTTTTTTTTTTTGATCTGCTGCACTAAATGGACTCTATTAGGTTGTTTGAGAACCGTACATAAATGTGTGCTTTCTCTAGTTTCCCTAATACCTGAGAAATGTGTCATTTTAGGAGTGTTGGTAAAGTCCATGATGAATGGTTTGCTGATGAGGAGAGGGTTCGTAAAACTGTTGGCATATTGGAGGGACCTGTGATTCCAACCCCTGATGGCGGAGAAGTAATTCCTTTTGACTTGTCGACTCTGAATTTTTTTTTCCTCTTTATATTTCTCGCTTAGTAACTCAGTGTTTCACTGAAACACATTTGATGTTTAGTTTACATGTGGAATATGCTTTGAAATCTTTCCTCCTGAAGAAATTCTTTCGGTTGCATGTGGTCATCCTTTCTGCACTACATGCTGGACTGGTAGGTTGTATTCAAAGATGTTTGCCTATAAATTTAATTGTTAAGCTTCGTTTCTTCCAAGCCTGAAGTGTGTGGAGTTAAGTTTCTGTTTTTCTTCTAGAACATTTCTTTTCTTATACGTTTCCTCTTATAATGTACACTTATGTAGGTTATATCAGTACAACCATAAATAGTGGCCCAGGATGTTTGATGCTGAAGTGTCCCGAGCCTTCTTGTCCTGCTGCTGTTGGTCAAGATATGTTCGAAAAATTGGCTTCCAAGGAAGACAAGGAGAAGTACTATAGATATTTTATTAGATCTTATGTTGAAGACAACAAAAAGGTAAGACTTCTAAGATAAACACTGCGTAACTTACCGCAATAAGTAGAAACTGCTTGATGCTCTTGCTAATTAATTTAACATTTAGAAGTCATTTTTCTATCCTCGTGTCCTTACCACACTTTAATTGACACCGATGTCTAGGAAGCTTGTCTCTTGTCTATTTTGTAAATATTGGAATTGTAAATAAAGACTATTTTTGTTTGCTTATTACTGCTCTTGGTAGAAGATCATCTCTGTTCTTAGCTTCACCTATTTTTTTGTATTCTTAATCCTGTATGGATTGGCTGCCAGCTTTTTGGTTGAAATCAAATCTCAGTAGTCACAATTCGCTTTAAGCAGATTATAGTACTTCCATACGTATGCCTATGATATTAGCGCTTGTCTTGTTTTAGTGTCGCTCTCATTTCTTTTCCATGCTTTAGATGAAATGGTGCCCCGCCCCAGGATGTGAGCATGCAGTTGATTTTGCTGCTGGGACTGGTAGTTATGATGTCTCATGCTTGTGTTCATATAGCTTTTGTTGGAATGTAAGTTCCTGATGACTAATCTGCTTTCCCTTGACTATTTAATCATTTTAATTTATATGGGGAACTCTGTTAAATCTGAAATTCCAGTGCACTGAAGAGGCTCACCGTCCTGTGGATTGTGACACAGTTGCACAATGGATACGAAAGAACAGCGCTGAATCCGAAAATATGAATTGGTACTATTCGTTTTCATGCTTCCTTAATCTTCTGTTTATTTCTACGCATGAATATGTTTAGTTACCTTAGGAGCTATGTCATTTCTCTTGCATCTTCGAAGTTCATTATACTAGATGTTAATCGATTTTTGCCTTCCTCATACACAGGATACTTGCCAATTCAAAGCCTTGTCCGAAGTGTAAGCGGCCAATTGAAAAGAATCATGGATGCATGCACATGACATGCACACCACCTTGTAAATATGAATTTTGTTGGTAAAGCTTTATCCCTATCTCTGATATCTTTCGGATTTGATCTTGTGATGATGAAAAGGCAAGAAGTGCTAATGAATGTAATCTTCATATGAATCTTTAGGCTTTGCCTTAATGCGTGGACAGATCACGGGGAAAGAACTGGTGGTTTTTATGCGTGCAACAAGTATGAGGCGGGTAAACAAGAAGGACGGGTAAGAAGACCTCTTGTCTACTTCTTTGATAATTTGCTGTGCTATTCTCTTTAATACTTTTTTAATATTGTTTTGTTGATATCAATTGAATTTTGGTTCTAGTATGATGAGGCTGAAAAGAGGCGAGAGATGGCAAAAAATTCGCTAGAGAGATACACTCATTATTATGAACGCTGGGCAAGCAATCAAACAGTATGTGCAATTTTCTTATATTTCTTATGCCTTGAAGACACTTGAAAGCTTCAAATGTTCTTTACACTTGAAAAGCTTTTTATACTTTTGTCGTGTTTGGCAGTCGAGGCAAAAAGCTATGGTGGATCTGGAGAAAGCAAGATCAGAGAAGGTATAATTGTTGTTAATCTTATTATTCAATCTTCTTTGGAGTAGAGAATGATATGAGCTAACAGCTATTCCCCTTGCTATTATTTGCAACACCAAATTGTATTTAAACTCTAGAAAGGGAGTGCATTGTTGTTCCTTTGTTGATTTTGTGGTATATAGAGTTTTGAACGTAAGAATGGTTATAGAAGTTTCTCACAGGCTGTTGTCAATTTTTTTTCCATTTATTTTGCTAGCTTGAGAAGCTTAGTGACATACATGGCACACCAGAATCTCAGCTCAAGTTCATCACAGAGGCGTGGCTTCAGGTTAGCCAGCTAAATTATTTAAATAATTATGAGATATATGTGCAACATCTCTTGAACTTCCCCGTTTATTTCATGCCTTTTACAGATCATTGAATGCAGGAGGGTACTGAAATGGACATATGCATATGGGTACTATCTACCTTATCCCGATAAGAAACAATTTTTTGAGTATTTGCAAGGTCAGAATCCTCTCATCTAGTTGATTGTTTTCTGGAAAAGCTAGTTGTGTCAGTGAGCCCCCTGAAGTTTGAAATTTGTTCTTGTTGATTTTGTTCAGGGGAGGCTGAGTCAGGTTTGGAGAGGCTCCACAAATGCGTAGAGAAGGAACTGGAGGTGTTTCTAGTTGCTGAAGGCCCTTCAGGTGACTTCAATCATTTCCGGACAAAATTAACGGGTTTGACCAGGTAACTGTCTGATGAAAGCTCACTGTTGCAACTGTGTTCAGACACAGTCATGTTTGGCTGAACGATACGAATGCTAACTGTGATGCCTTGTATCGTGTTTTTTAACAGCATAACGAAAACCTACTTTGAGAATCTGGTGAAAGCTTTAGAGAATGGTCTTGCTGATGTGGATACGCAAGGGGCTAGCAGCAAATCAGCAAACTCTAAATCTAGCAAGACAAATGGAGGTGGGAAAGGTAAAGGAAGCTCCAAGAGTGGCGGGTCCAGCAAAAACGTAGATGGAAACTGAGGTCTCTCAGGTTTCAGTGACATTCTAATAGATTTTGCCACGCTCTTTAAAAACCACCGGATTGTTTTGTAGCTGTAAAAAAAATTATTATAATATAGACATAATTGATGTTCAGATTGGTGTACTTATTTTTATGTTTCTTTTACTTGCAACATCCACACAATAAAAAAAATCAAATATATAAAATTTATATGAAAATAATTTATTATAAATGTTATTTTGAGTATTATATAGGTATAGAGTTTTATCTTCTCGAGTTTCTAAATAGAAGTTATAGTCATATTTTAATGTCTAAATGAAAAATTTAGATAATTCATCACTCAGTAAAGTTGGAATTGGTTAAAAATAGAAAATCAACCATAACTAAACGTTTTGAATCATATGAGATCTGCATGGATTTTAAAAGTTCTCAAACCAAGAATAATAAATTTTAAGAATTCATATACCAAATGACAATGGAATCTCAAAATTTTCACAATTTATTAAAAACTTGTGACAACATATTGTTATTACAATAATAGAAGATCTGGCTCTTTTGCAAAATGCTGACATGATTTGGTCAGCGCAACCTTCTCAAAAAGTCATAAGAAAACAACGTTCTGTCCAATAAGCTACTTACATTAAACATTTGCTTTTGTAATAACGCGCGAAGGATTAATACAAGGGGTCAACTATGTATCCTGTGTGTTTCCCTAGAGCCACAACTCGTTGACTCCTTCAGATCCTCCAACAAGTTAGTGGTTAGTGTGTCAATATTATCTTCTTCTATGATTCTCCAACATGTACTCCTCAACCTATAGCAGTGTTCGTGACTTCTTGAAACTTATCTTCTCCTGTTCCTTTTTTTCAGGGCTCCTCAATGGCTTTCACGGATGGAAAAGATGGGACCAAAGGCTTTGTGAAGAGAGTGGCTTCATCTTTCTCCATGAGGAAGAAGAAGAATGCAACAAGTACAGGAGGAGGCAATGAACCTAAGTTGCTTCCAAGATCAAAATCAACAGGTTCTACTAACTATGAGTCCATGAAGCTACCTGCAGCAAAGAGGATTCAAGATGCTACAATCAAAACAAGGATCAAACCATTACCAAGACGGGAAAAGATTGATGATCGTGGTGGTGTGAGGAACAAGAGCTTTGGAAAATGGAGAAGCTTTGATGACAGTGATTCAATATGGTTGTCTTCAGATTGTGCATCTCCTACTTCTCTTCTTGAGGAACGCAGGTTATCTGTTGCATTTCGCTTCTCGGTTGATGAGAATGTAGTCTCTTGGTTATCAAAACTAGCCAATTCTATGAATCATCAAGAAGCAGCTTCCCTTAAAGACCGTTGTAGAATACCAAAAAGCAGCGAGAGTGCAGAGAACATTCAGAAGAAAGTTTCATCTGGTTCTTATCCAATTCCTGATTCTTCTTCTACTCAGAGTTTACAAGGAAAGAAAGTTAGCTTCTCAGCATCTTCAGGTCCACAACTTGAATCAGACAACTCTTCTGCATCTCTGAAAAACTCCTCTGATGTTCCATCTGATCAGAACAATCGCACAGCAACGTCTTTGCCTCATGAGGTAAATGCAGAGGTGTTGGAATCTAAGAACATTACTAAAGTTGATGAGCCGCTTTTCTGGCCATATGAGCAGAGATTTGACTGGACACCAGAGGATATCTTGAAGCATTTCTCAATGTCACCTCGGAGAAAGAAGTTAATGAATGCCAAAATGTCAGCAGGTACCTCCTCCCCAAGATCCATGAGAGCACAACTTCTCCAGGCAAGAAAAGTAGATCTCAAAGACGGATGTAAGAAAAAGCTTGTGTTCAATGGTCCTGTTACAAACGCATCCAAGATTCCAGAGCTCAAACGAACAGCCAGCAATAGCAGCAGCAACAAGAAAAATGACAACAGCATCAAGAACGAGCCCATCAGGAATTGCGTGAAGAGGAACACAAGTTTGCCATCAAGGTTGAGAAAATCAAGCAAGACATGTTCAAAGGTTGTACCTATAGAAGCTGCTGAAGAAGTGATTATTGCACAAGAACGGACCAAAGCGGAAATAACAACTAAAAAGCTGATTAACCGCAGAAGCAAAACAATGTTTGAAGACGACTTCACATTTATGAATGATTTCTCGATTGAAAATGCAGTGGGGCTTGGTGAGTTTAAGGGTAGAGAGGGTTTAGATTCAGAGTTTAACTCTGACACTTTCTTGTTTGATGATTCCCTGTGAAACTAGAGAATATATACTTTGCCAAACACACAAAAGAAACCTTCTCTGCATATTTTGGTCCTGATTATATGAGTGGCTCTTTATACTGAGTTTAAGATCATATTCTCAGAGTAAAAAACACTGAACTGCAGCGAGCCTGTCTTTGTTCATGTAATGATGGAGTAATGTATGGAATAGAGATCGAGAATATGAAGGTCTTAAAAGCACAAGAAAATTAGAAGTTAACCAGTAGAGTTGCCTTCATATCTTTAACTATTGTTCTCTTTCAAAACTAAGTTTCACTCATTTATTCCATTTGTCACATACAAAATCAACACAATCCATCCAAGCCCAAAACAAACCAGACACAAACATTGTCTGATCAGGACCCGAACAGAACCGTGTGTGTCTATATATATGTGTAAGATATATGCAAGATTCTAAGAAGTACCGGGTCTAACATCCGGCTGCTTTCAAAAATTCATCGTAGGGGCTTGAAGGAGGTAACCGAAACGAATTTTGTTCCACTCCGTGTGAGCAGGATGCGAGCTGAACTTGAGGTTGGACTTGTGCCACAGTGAGTGCCTTCTGATCATCTGCATCAGCTTCTTCTGTCTGCAACACACGCAAAAGAAGAAGGAAAAAAATATACCAAAACGGGATTTAAAGATGATGGGAGGACAATTAATGTAAACAGAACATAGAACAAACTCCCTAACCTCCTTGAGAAGAAACACTTCCTCCTTCTCATCGTCTTCAGAGAAAGTTATAGCTTTGGTTGCTTCGGGTTTAAAACTTCTAAGAACAGACATCTTTTGCTGCTTACCCGTCATAAGAGCTTCACACTGATTCATCATTTGGTCATAAGGTACAGGAGTCGAGGATACAGGAAGACTTGCAACTTGCCGGGCAGTTTCTGATACCTACACATCGCCAATGAAAGAAAGATCACAAAGGAAACCAATAGATATTAATATGAAGTACTGAGTGCACATATATATTACGGATTCTAATAACTCGTTGACACTCAGAACATCTACTGGGTTAGTGTTTGTGGACAATGATGTTGTGTGGCCAGACTGACTCCCACTAGCACCCGAGGAAATTCCTTCGAATGCCACTATTGCTGGAAGCTCAACCTGAATTGATCAACACAGCTGCAGTCAGGAACTGAACTGACTCCTGAAGTAAGTTTCTAATGATACCTCTTCAAAAGCTGCAAGTTCTATTTGATTAAGAGGAGAAGCAGGTCCTGATGCATCCATGAACAATGGTGCACCAAGCGGGTGTGCATCATCTCGGCAAAAATCTGAGTTAATTTCCTTTCTCAAATTTGATTGCTCCTCCTAAGAGCATTAAACATAAAACAATTTCAGAAAAAGGTGAAGACCAAACAGAGCATGTGGACAATATCTTCACTGCTAAAAGACAAAGAGCTAAACTCATGGTTCCTCTATACTCAATACAGCTTTATCTGCTGATTTGGATAACAAAACTATCCTGAAGGCACACACATTTTATCATTTTAAACTAGGTAAGTACCTCGGATAATGTCGGAAATCTCGATGTAAAATGAATGATGACGAGATCCTTCAGGCGACTATCATGTGTGACAATCACTGACGAGTTGAGAGTAGCACTACCATCTTTCTCAGATCCATATGCTGCCACTTCTTCCTGTGGAAATCCAGAACACACAGCACGCAGTCTGATATCTCCTTCCAGAACAAGATAAGGATCAACCTGTTCAGGACATGACGGATTAGAAGACAGCTGAGCATCCAAAAAGATAGAGACTTAGGAAAAGGAAAACAAACAGATACAATATTTAACAAAAACTCACCATTCCGGCAGTTAAAGATTCTTTGACTAATGGAATTAGCTCTGGAATATTGGAAATCTTGGCACTAAAAATGAGCAAATATGTTGCAAACGTGAAGATTGATCTTCTACGAGAGAGCTGCAAACCTCCTTCACAATCATACCAGAAATACATGTCAGAGTCTAGGTCATTTCTAAATGGACGGCAAAAGCACTAATCGTCTTTAACTTACCATTTTGATTCAATGAGAGATTTCGAAGAGAGAATGCTAGCTGAAAACACCACACCAGAGCCGTGTGCTTTGATCTCTGCCATTTGCAATCACCAAATCAGATATAATTTTACAAAAACACGGTTAATTCATTTTGAATCTGAAAGACTATTAAACATTCAACTGTGGTACGGTAATAGCATAAGATGCTACGACTAACCTTTGCTAGTGAAAACAAAATAGTGGTACTATACGTGCTGGCCATGGCCTCAAAATTTGCAGGGGTATTCTCGGTAGAAGTTGCTTGGATCCATAGGGATGAAAGGAGCATATTCACTTGATTACTACTGAGTCGGAGTGAACATAACGACTGTAAAAGCATGAAATCACACTGTAATCAGCTCACTATCAAATACAATAAGATAAGTGCCAACTTAATATCAGAGGCTCGGGAGCCCAAAGGAATTTCATACCTTTATACCACCATCTACATCATGTAAGCTACTCAAGGACTGACAATTAACACTTGTACAAGTTCCATCGACTGGCAATATCTCAGAAACAGCATCTGAGCCTTCCTTATGTTGGTCTGACCAAGGCAAACTAAGAGTTCCAAGAAGTAGGACGGAGAATATATTGTGTGCCTCCACTCTAGTTTCACAATCTGTGTGTGACATCGCAAGGAGCAGTTGGTGAAACAAGGCATCTGGAAATACCTGGGGCAGACCACAGTAACTCCGTTAGAACAGAATAATTACTGCGATAATCAAATACAAAGCAAAAGTTGAAGTAAAAAAATCTCACTTACTTTATTGTGGTAAGACACATTTGGGACCACCGATACTATATGTGCAGCACGGAGAATGGCTGATGCTGTGGCTCTAGCAACGAATACATTAGTGGATATCGTCTCAAGAACCACCGCCAACATATCAAGAATAGGACCTGCATCCCCAACCTTGAAGCAAAACCAAAAGAAATTAAACAGTCTGAAAAAATCTAAAAAAGAGAAAACAGTCCAACTAACCTTATTTGAGAGCTCTGCGATGCAATTTTCTAATGCATGCTGAAGCTCAGAGGTCTGCTTCGTTTCATCAGCAGACAGATCTGATTCAGCTGCATTTTGCAGGCATTTCCGCAAGTGCTTAATCAACTCAGCTATTACAGCAGTCATCGCGCTTGAAGCCTGCTGCTTCGCATGTAGGACAAGGCATGTGGCTACATTAACCATGTTAACCTGAAGACCTTGTTGCTTCATTACATTCTTATGATCCAAGTGCTTGATCAAAGAAGATACCAACACATAACAGTTTTCTCCTGCTTAAATACTTCGTTAGTCAGTCGCTTCATAGACAAAAGTTAAAATCCGGAAATGTAGCAACTTAAATATCATCTCTAACCTGATTCTTCCAGACGAGACTGCAGAAACAACAAAACAGAAGAGGCAACGCTCCCCTGTGGAGACCAGTAATTCCCACTGTCAAAAGCATTCAAAAGTGGTTCCAGAACCCGACGAACAGTTGTAGTTTCCTTTGCTAATTTGGCTATATTGCAGAGGCAAACCATAGACCAGTATGAAGGGCTCTTCGAATTATCCCTAGATGAATTTAACGAATAAATCAAAAAAAGAAATACATGATCATTTCCAGTGAAAGCAAGTTACAAAGACGTTCGGAGAAGCCTTACATGTTTGCCAAGTTATAGTCAGTCACAGGATTAAGTTTGAACGAAGCCTTTGCACTCATGTTACGAACATTAGTTTCTGAAATTTCACCAACTTCATTGGTGTCTTCTTGGCCCTTCTCCAAATCCATATAATTCTCCAGAATCACAGAAATAATCTAATTCAAGATGAAAAAAAGATCATAATCTAACTAAAGGATGTAATAGAGGAACAAAAAGTTAAAGTAACCGATGACGTACCATATCCAAGTCCACTGAAAGTTGGGAATGCTCACCAATGAAAGAAACCTGGCAATAACTAGTGATTAATAACATGTTGCACCTAAATCTAAAGAACACATTTGCTGTCAGTTAACAAAAGAACAAGTAAGGAGAAACTATCACCATGATTGCCAAAGCCTGCATTCCTGCTGACCTTAATCTGAGTAATCTTTCATCATCCCCCATTTCTTGAGCAAGTTGACAAAGTTTAGGGATTAGACCTTCTAAGTTGAACATGTGTGAATTCTCAGTCTGTATTTACACAAATGTGTTACCATACCATTATGTTTCAAAAGTATGTAACCATGCCTAAAATCTTTTGCAACGTACCTGTAAGCTTATAAAGTCAACAAGTGTATTGCAACCCAAGATCTGCACTTCGACATCTTTTGTTTGATCCAAAAGAGTTGGGACAATGTTTAGCAAACTACACGAAAATAAAGGCCTACAAAGACAGATGATAAAACTAGTTCTTAAGTAACCAGAATATGCCACACAAACCACGTTTTATTCATGAAGAAACTAATACGACTACTTACATCTGCTCCTTACATGATGAAAGCAACTTCTTGTAAATGCACAAGACGACTTTAACAGATCCGATATTCCCATTTCGTAATTCTCTGTAACATTTACGCTCAAGGTACTCTGTAATCTGTCAAAAGAAAAGGGAAGACTACAAACATAAGAATAAAATTCCAAAAGATTAAAACAAAAGAGAAAATGCAAAAACACCTTTGGAATTCGTAAAGGATTCCTTGACGCATACTCACAAAGCTTGCCTATTTTTCTATCATTTGGCTCAGCATCCTGCCATATAACAACAACATGGGGAAACAAAACATGTTGAGACTTTAAAACCCCATTTAAATTTTCGAAACATTTGTATATTCATTCAGAATCTCACATGTAACAATCATACGGAACAATAATGAATACCATAATCCAGCATAAGTTAATAGTAATCAACAAGTATAGATCACTGAACAAATCACTGAACACTTAAAGAATCTAAATGATCTTCACTAGTACAAAAGAAAAAATGAAACTTCAACAAAGATTGATATATTAAAAAAAAAAAAAAGAGTAGTAGACCTGATTACGAGGGAAAATATCAGCGAGCATTTGCTTATAGCGTTTAACGGGATGCCTAGACCTAACCCTCAAGGAAGGACAGCAGAAGAAACAGATGTTACCACATGCGGGCAAGACCCGTCTCGAGATAACCCCCATTCTCTTCTTCCCTGCAAGCAATTCCCTTTTGAGTTAAAAAAAACTAGAAACCAAAAAGAAAGCAAAATGCAAAAAAGAAGAAACGTTCGAGAGATATCATTGTACCCCCAGCAGCAACCCTAATTCAGTGTGTAGCTCCCCCGAGATCGCAACCCTGAGACTCTCCAGAGAAAGGAGGAGGCAGATTTTTGAATTGGGAAGCCAGAGCTGAGAGAGAGGCAGCCCGCTCAGAGGTCGCTTGCTCTTCTCGTCTTTTATTTTCATTATCATTGAAAAAAAATAACTCTTTTAAACTTCTCTTCTGTTCTGTCTTTGCGCCATTAATGTCGGAAAGTTTTCAGTCCGGAACCTACTGAATTACTTAACTACCCTTGTCCGAAATCAAGCTGACAGGGTTTATTTGATGTCGGCCCGTGCGCTAAGATACAACTATTGGGCCTCCCGTATCGGCCCACTAAAATTAAATACAGGACGACAACTATTTATTCGTTGAACAATCAACATAGCCCGTATAGCTCAGTGGTAGAGCGTCAGTCTTGTAAACTGAAGGTCCGTAGTTCGATCCTGCGTGTGGGCACCTTTTTAATTTCAATGTTTAAAATATCTTTTTTTCGTTTAACCTAGTAAAATAAGAAAATTTAACATATCAAGGTGAAAAACATATGCAACTTATTTCCATGTTAATATATAGAATTGATTTGATGATTATCATTATCTAATTATAAAATCCTTATTAACTTTAATTAATCATTAAATTTATTAATAAATATAATTAACCATAAATTTAAAACATATTTCATTGATTTTAATAATTATCATTATATTAAAATAGTATCTATTGTGTTATCCAAAAAATATTTTACATCATAAATTTTTTTAAAAATTACTATTAAGATAAATCCATGTTATATATTATATATAATTATATGTATATTTTAAATGTATGAACAATAAGAAGATAAATCCATGTTATATTATATAGAATGATATTTAAATTGATAATATATTATTTGAAAGTTGAACCTCATATTGTCCCCTGCTCTATTTGTCTGGTAAGATCAATTAATTGATTAATTTCCAATATAAAATCAAAACTATATTATATTTGATTCAGAAAGTAAAAGAGTTATATCCATCAGAAACCCTCCAACATTTTCTCTCAACCAATAATAATATCAACCTCAAGACAAAATCTCCCATCGTTTCCTTCCCTATTTTTGGCTTACTTATATATATCTCGTTTCACCCCTTTGACATCTTAACTTCCTCCTAGAATCCTAAATTGTTGTCTTCTCTTTTCAATCTCCAAGAAGCCATGAAAGGGTAAAAAAAAGGGTGAAAAGATCTTCCCGGAAACCCTTTCTCAACTTCTCGGAGCCTTGATTATTATCTTTGTCTTGTTCCACACGCAAACCCTACAAAACATTATAAAGAGATATGGATCCAACAGAGCTCAAACGCGTGTTCCAAATGTTCGACAAGAATGGTGACGGGTCCATCACCAATAAAGAACTCAGCGAGACGCTACGAACCCTTGGGATCTACATCCCCGACAAGGAGCTGACTCAAATGATCGAGAAGATAGATGTGAATGGCGATGGGTGTGTGGACATAGACGAGTTTAAGGAGCTTTACAAGACGATAATGGAAGGGGAAGACGAGGAAGAAGAGGATATGAAGGAAGCTTTCAATGTGTTTGATCAGAACGGAGATGGGTTTATAACGGTGGATGAGTTGAAGGCGGTTTTGTCATCCTTGGGGCTCAAGCAAGGTAAGACGTTGGATGATTGTAAGAAGATGATTAAGCAAGTGGATGGAGATGGTGATGGTAGAGTTAACTTCAAGGAGTTTAGACAAATGATGAAAGGTGGTGGTTTTAGCGCTCTGGGCTAATGTTTTTTTCTTTTCATTGTTGTGTTTCTTTTTTTCTCTTCTTCTTGATTTAATTATTATTGTTTTAGGAATGAAAAACACAAGAGAAAAAAAAACAAATGATATTATCATGTTTTCATAACGTAGTTTCTCTATTGTTTCTTCCGGAATATGTTACCCGTAATAAAATGTGGATCAAAGACATTTGGTAATTTGGCTTTAATATTAAGAACATCACAACAAAAACATTTAATTAATTGATACAACAACCAAGTAAAGACTATGCTTTTTGTTGGGCTTGAATTTTAAGAATGTTAGAAACATATGCGGCCAATACCTAGTATCAAATGTAAAGTGGTTTGGTTTTGCTTATTAAGTAATGATAAACCGGGCTTTATCATCCGGTTATAACTAATTAGACACTAATTAGACTCTTCACTCTTTGACTTGAGTCCTTCCCTTTTACATTTCACTCTCTGACTTCCTGAAGAAATCAATTGCTTTTTTCAACCTCTTTGGGCCTCTGAATCGGCAAAAGGTATCGTTATAGATTTTTCTTTGGATCTATAACATATTGAGGGAACTACATTGGATCGATATGGCGAATGTCGATTTAGTCAAACCCAATCAGTTTTTCATTTTTGGAGCTAAAGAAATTAGCAACCAGTTTTTGATTCTTGTAAATGAAATTAAAGTCTCTAACTGAGATTTAGGGTTTTTATCATGTATATGTATATGTCCCAGCTGAATCATTCATGCACATGTGTATAAGTTTTGGTGCAGTTCGTTGATGCAAGTCTTTTAAAATTTTTGTTTTTTTTTTGTTTTTTTGAACAAAGGCTTCTTATAAACTTTTTGTTGTAATCACGTTTGAGCTTACTACAGATTGATCTTGTTTATAGACTCTTACGTTGTATTCCTTCCCATTCCGAGTTGAAATGATGTCTTTAATTATCAACTTTGGTCTGACTAGTTTAGATCCAAAATCAGCTAAGAGGGAATCACCAAACCTTCCTCCAGCTACCATATAAATGCTTGTTCTTGTTTAGTTTTGGTTCAGTTCAAGAACTTGTCAATTGGTTTTGGAGGTTACTTCTGATCACTGACAGTAGTGTTTAGTTTGTCATTGCTAATTAAGAAATTGAAATGTTTCGATGATGCAGTACGTTGGAAACGGGAAGAGAAAAGAGTCCTGGTTTGAAGATCCTCTGGGTCTGGACTCTCGGCACTGCTGCTAGTATGACCCTCTATTGAATTAGATGATCTGTATATATGTATCCATGTAATATATTTACCAATCTTGTACCTGCTTGCAGTATTGGTGGCTAGCGTTGTCCGCACAAGAATGCATGACATGGAGTCTATGATGAACCAGGAACAAAACAACCACATAACTGCAGCTCATTCGGATGTAACAGTTTTGCCCGAGTCAGTTCAAGAAATTGCCAAAGAACTCAAATGAACAACACTCATGGTTCTCTGTTTTTTTTTTATATTTCTTCTCTTCCTTTTCAGTGGGTTGTTCTCTAAATTTAAGAATTTTTTGAACATATTTGGAACCAAAAATTATGGTTTCAAAAAAGAAAATGCTTAGACTAAATTTACTCATCAAGCTTCTTTGTCGATTCACTTTTCATAGGGAACATTAAAGCATTAATGTACATGTTCCAAAAAAAAATGTTTTTTAATGTTTCAAAAAAAAAATCAAGGCTACAAAATATGAAAAACCAATTTTAAAGATTATGTCATAGTTTTAAAATACTTAATTATTTTAAATTGGCACTTTCCAGACTAAAAAAATAAATAAATAAGTTTTAGTAAAGCATTAATGTAGATTTTTAATATCCATGAATAACCAGATATGATATATATAACCATATACAAACGTTGAATTCACTGAACCTTGAGGCAAGAGCACATACAGTCCACTGAAACAATAAAAGCTGTATCAACTACAATTATGGGAAACAAATGAATTTTTTATTTATTTGCAGAAATGTTAAAAAAATATGAATTTAATACACTTCCATAAATAAATCAATATATTCAAACGTTTGAAAAAATTTATGTCTACAATAATACGATCTTTTTGACTATTTTCTTGACCAGAATTTAAAAGCTTTCTTACACACCCTTATATAAACTACTCAACGCTTCCTTAACTTCTCATCCTCTCTATTGTTTTCATTCTCCAATCTCTAGAACACAAACTCGATCTTGTCCCTATGGCTACCACAGGAGAGAAAGGCCTCATCGTGAGCTTCGGGGAGATGCTCATTGACTTCGTCCCTACAGAATCCGGCGTCTCCCTCGCTGAAGCCCCAGGGTTTCTCAAAGCTCCCGGCGGTGCTCCGGCCAACGTCGCCATTGCAATCACGCGTCTCGGAGGTCGAGCCGCCTTCGTTGGTAAGCTAGGTGATGATGAGTTCGGTCACATGCTTGCAGGAATCTTGAGGGAGAACGGCGTTGATGATAAGGGGGTCAACTTCGATAAGGGTGCAAGAACTGCGCTAGCTTTCGTCACGTTGCGTTCAGACGGTGAACGTGAGTTTATGTTTTACCGGAACCCGAGTGCCGACATGCTTCTCCGACCAGACGAACTTGACCTCGAACTAATCAGATCTGTAAGTAAATGTCTTTTTGCCTTGCATGCATACGACGTAAACAGTATTAGTGTTAGTGTCATCTCGAATTGTTTTTTAGACCTTTTCAAAAACTAAGTATATATGGTGGCCTGGGTTTGGGCTTCGGCCCAAGTGGTTTACATGGTAAATCGTAATAGATGATCTGTTCATCATTTAGCATTAGTTGGAAGATATTCCAATCTCCAAACTCGGATCAGGCGGTGTGGTAGCCAGTCTACTATGTATCACTAACTGTGTTACTCCCGGGACACCGAATCAGCTGATAGGATTTATCAACAAAAAAAAAAAAAAAACTAACTATATATTTACCAAAGTAATGATGTAGTTTCAAAAGTTAATAGTGACATTTATATATATGTTTAACGTTTTTAAAGAATTTATAAGCACTAAACTTAAATATTTATCTAAAATTTTAAAGTTTTAAATTCTAATATATATATATGTATGTATTTTTAAATATTTTATTTTAGTTTGAGATCCTATTCGCTTGCTCCACTTGTACATAAATTAACAATCCAAGCATTTGTTTTTTCTTTTAACCATTATCTTTTGGTTCCAAATATGCTAACAATTTCTTAAATTTAGTCTAAGCATATTTTTTTAAAACCATAATTTTGGTTCCAAATATGTTCAAAAAATTCTTAAATTTAGTCAAGCATATGTTGTTGGTTGAAGATTTGATGCATTTGATTTTGTTTCTTACAGGCCAAAGTGTTTCACTATGGATCAATTAGTTTGATCACTGAGCCATGTAGGTCAGCTCACTTGAAGGCAATGGAAGTGGCCAAAGAAGCAGGAGCTCTTCTTTCCTACGACCCTAACCTAAGGGAACCTCTTTGGTCATCGCCTGAAGAAGCTCGGACACAGATCATGAGCATCTGGGACAAGGCTGAGATCATCAAAGTCAGTGATGTCGAGCTTGAGTTCCTCACTCAAAACAAAACGATTGATGATGACTCAGCCATGTCTCTATGGCATCCCAATTTGAAGCTCTTGCTTGTTACCCTCGGCGAAGATGGATGTCGTTACTACACTAAGGTAACTTGTGCCATAAGTATCTTCATCATTATCATTACCATGGCTTGCTTTGATTGATAATTATTGCTTGGTTATGACGTTTGCCCATTAGGTTCTCAATTTAATTTGTTTGCTTGTTAATCAAGAAAGCTAATTTCCATGTATAGAAATTCCATGGAGCTGTTGAAACTTTTAATGTAAACGCGGTAGATACTACTGGGGCTGGAGATTCCTTCATAGGCGCGTTTCTAAGCAAGATTGTTGATGATCGATCTATTCTCGAGGTTACAACATAACCCTAAAACTCTCAAATTATCTTGTGTGTACTCAATTGAATATCAACAAGTGTGATTTTACTGATTTTTAAGGATGAAAAGAAACTGAGGAAAGTGCTGAGGTTTGCAAACGCTTGTGGAGCCATCACGACTACCAAGAAAGGAGCCATTCCAGCTCTTCCTTCAGACAGTGAAGCTCTCAGCTTTCTTAAGGACAATCTGAAACGTAGTAACAACCCTTTTAAGGCCAAAAAATTGCGCTTCTTGTATTGTAGTAACTGCTGATGATTCTGATTTGAGAAAAAAAAAGATCACAATATTGTATCCTTCATCTCTTGCTAATAGAACAAGATTTTTTTTTTTCTGAGCCATGTACTTTCCGAGTTGTTATTGTTTTGTTTCCACATGTTTCTATGTGAGAAGCTTTGATACAGAAAGATAACCTCGAGTTGGCCTAAAGAAGAGAACACCTTCCGTGTTGGCTACGTCAGCTACTCAGCTGCCTTCTTTGCCAGTGGTCTCTATAAGAAGAAGCTTGCTAATGGCTCTAGACAAGAGGAGATCACTGCTTGAGATGATCACGTTCAATTAATCAGCCGTTTTAGCACTAGAAGCCACCAAAAAAAAACATTACGTGTAACACAACATAATGTGGGAGTGAGATACAGAGGTAGTAGCAGAGGAAGATTACTTATTATTCAAGTTTGTAGCAAATTCCTTGTCCAAGAGGTATATGAACAAACTCAAACACAAACACTTTATAAAGATTCGGACAGAAAATTAGAAAAGTGTGTAATAAGCTCTCAACATAGGTTACTCAACTTAAACAAAACTAAAGATATGACAGTGAATCCACGCATCATCCTCCTTATACAGATAGGTTTCTAGCTTCCTTCTTACTTTCCCATAGAGAAATGTTTACACATAGCTTACATATAGCAATTTAGCCTAGATCAGGGACAATGAAGTGCTCTTCATCATCATCATCTCTGAACTCCAGCCTTGGCTTCTTGTATGAAACATTCGACTTCATGGGTCTGTATGAATGAACATTTCCTAAATGCGGTCCAGAAAGCTCGGGGACTTCAGCTACAGGAAGACTCTCCTGACTTATCTGATCACTGAAGAAACCCATGTCTGAAAACCACTCTAACTCCCCAAGATCAAGCTGTCCTTTCTGCTGAAAATTTAAACAAGAAGGTCAATAAAACTAGCTACAAGACCAAACATTAAGCATCAACATATCAGTCTCAGTCTATATACCTTATCGGTAGTCTCAGGATCAGAGAAGTGGAAGAAATCGTCAACTGCCCACGGAAGAGGAGTAGTAGCAGAAGAAGGTTGTTGCTGGCTTATGGTTTTAGCTGGAATCTCCTTAGCTTTCTGTTGCTTCTTGGAAGGCTCAGGTTGATTCGTATCTGTTTCTTTACAGCAACTACTTGAGCTCAGAGCCACTTTAATCCCAGTGGCTAAGAACCTCTGGTGATTAGCAGATCTAGAGTTAGCAACATGGATGGATTCATCACAGTCCCTGCAAAGCAGAGCTCTATCCTCAACACAGAATATGAAAGCTGCCTTCTCCTACACGTCACAAGAAGAGTAACAACACAATGAGCATACAAATCTCCAGACTAATGAATCACACATGGAAAGAGAGATCTATAATTATAAACTTACTTGGCATATATCGCAACGAGGGAACTTGGTGGAGAGAGCATTGAGATGAAGGCGTTGGTGCTTGCTTGCGAGTTTGTTAGCTGCATGAATCTCAACGTCGCATCTAGGGCACAGAGCTGCTTCGTCGGCACAACATATCACCGTCGCTGGAGCTTTCTCACACACATCACATTGTATCTTCATATTTTCCAAAACACACAGTTCTTGATTCTTGGTTTTAAAATGAAGAAGATCTGAATCTGACTTTGTTTGCCTTAGCAGGAAATAAAGTTGAATGTGGAATGGATCTTGGAGAAGAAGTAACCAAGAATAGGGGAGATGATGTAATAAAGAAATGATTTGACAAGTTGTTGAGGAACAATCAGTGGTGAATAAGAAGAAGATAAGAGATTTTGATGAATCTGCGTATCAAAATGAAACACTATGCTTGTTACAGCAAGGTCTCTTGGGTCCCACGTTTTTTTTGTGGCTCTCCTTTCTCCTTTCGTCATCTTTCCTCATTTAAATATCATTATTATCTTCACACTTTTCTTTTTCAATTATGTTTTTTTGTTTTTTAGCAGAGATTTGGGTCCCTTTTATTTATTAAAGATAATAATCTGTATATTTTTACTTAAATCTGGAAAATGACAATTTGAATTTATTGTTTTCATATCATGTAATATGTACCAGTCGATGAGATATTTTCTTTTAATTCTATCAATTTTTTCTTTTTTGAATTAAAAATGATAAGTGCCATCTTTTCATGTTATGTACCAGTTGATCCATTTCTGACATGATTGGTCACAAGTTATTATCTCTATTACATCTTCATCTTTGTGGTTACTCTCAGTAAAGATATTGTTACTGTTGGCTGTATCTTGACTAAGCAGATTAGAGAATCCATTTCCATTAGATTTCCATCAGCTCAACCGCTCTGAGTTAGTTTGATCTGACCTGTCATTACTTGTGCTTGATGAGATTTCCATAGATATGGCTGAGTCGGTCTGCAGGTCAGAGAATCTCACAGCTCCTAATATCTTCCTTCTCTGATTCGGTCTTGCTTTCAGTGAGGAATGCTGACCACCACTCACAAGACAGTGCAACATGTTCTCCAACAGCCTTTCTTCCAATCTAGTGGGCTTTTAACAATGTTTGCAATTAGTTTTAGCCTTGACTTCTTAAAACCATATTCTCATTTCAAAAACTGATCCATCAAGGAGCCTTTTAAGTCCAAGAATGTGTCAGGAGATGGTGTTGTCCAATAAACATGGGACAGCTCCCTCTGATTTCACTCTTTTGATCCACTGTGGCTCAGTTTCATCACAGGAGCCAGACATATCTTGTGTGAAACCTTCCGTGAAAATTTTTAGAGCATTTAACATTCATAAATTAACTTTTTCAGCATTATTTTATTAATAGTCTAAATCATCCAATTTGTAACTAATTTAATTATTTTAAAGTAGATGTATCAATTAGGAGAAAAAAAAACAAAAAGGTTGCTAACTAGTTACTCAAATTGTTTTGATAGTCTCTCAAACAAGAATATTTTCTTCAAATTTCTAACTTTTTATTCCCTTTTTATTACTAAATGTTGGTGATTTATAGACCATCAATATACAAAACTATCTTTTGCATTCATAATGTTTCTACTTAGACAAGTAATTATGGCATTTTACATAGAAAAATAATGTCAATTTATCTTCATTAAAAATTTTGATCAAAAAATAAAAAACTTCATTAAAATTTAATAAAGACAAAAAAAAAGAAACTCCATAGTACTTTTGTTTTTGTTCACTTCTTTTTCTCCCACGTCACTATATTCGGCGCCTCCCTCACCGAGTTGGCTTCTACCCCTCCATCACCGGAGAAGAATCACACCTTTCTTATCAACGCCGTTGCAAAGTCGGAGCATTTACACAGATCATCTCCGTACAAAACATGGATCCTCGTCAATTCGAACACATCGTAAGCTCTTCTTACTTTCTCACTCGAGATTTCACTATTGGAATCACGATCGTTATATCTCTTTAATTCGGTAGAATTATGGATCATTCTAGGCTTTTTGCTAATGACTCTCTCATCTATATGTGTAAAGCATTGTGTGTATTGTTGACTTTGGCAGCCATTAACTTTAACTGTGAGGTTGTAAAAATGTTATCTTTTTATCCAGAAGTTGGAAGCATTGTACACTCTCTTTATTGGAATCTTAAAAATGTTAACTTTTTTTTAATCTTGTGAACAGGTTGTGAAGGATAGTGATATTCATAGTATTGTAATGTCTTACCTTCTCCACAACTGCTTTGGTGAAACTGCTGACTCACTTGCTTCCACTACTGGAATAAAGCAACCTGTGATTGATCGTGATAATTTGCAGAGAAGAAAACGTGAGTACTTACAATTACTTCTCTTGTTAAATGTTGTTAATTCACTTTGTGTTTTGATTGATTGGTTGTTACATGTTCAGAAATAATGCATTTTGTACTGGAGAAGAAGGCTTTGAAGGCTGTTGAACTAACTGAAGAATTTGGACAAGAGTTACTTGAGAAAAACAAGGATTTGCAGTTTGATCTTCTGTGTCTTCACTTTGTGGAGCTTGTCTGTGATCGGAAATGGTGAGAACTTTGCCATTAGGATCTCAGTTTCTGAACCTTGTTATAAACGGTTTGTCTGCGTGTGCAGCAAAGAAGCTCTCGAATTTGCTAAGACAAGTTTGGCTCCTTTTGGGGAGGTCCAAAAATATGTAGGAAAGCTTGAAGTAAGTCTTTTAATCTTTTCTGATCATCTATTATATTGGCAGTTTATGCTTTATGTTCTTCCGAATGATGGGAGAGTTAGTTAAACATTGTTTGTTTCCCTGAGGCAGGACGTAATGGCTTTGCTGGCTTATGAAGATCCTGAGAAGTCTCCAATGTTCTATCTCTTGAGCTCTGAGTACCGTCAACAGGTTGCTGATAATCTCAACCGCACCATTCTTGGTCAGTTCTTTTTCTTTTTTTCTTCTTCTCCAAGACTGTCTCTGGCTTTCTGTGACTTTTACTAATTATGAGTTTTAAATCGTCCAGAACACACAAACCATCCAAGCTACACACCCATGGAAAGGCTCTTACAACAGGTGACAGTTGCGAGACAATACTTGACTGAGGAAAATGGCAAAGTAATCACAATGTTCCTCCAGTCTTTACTCTTCTATTTCACTGTAGAAGCCATGTGAATAGTGCATGTGTTTAAAAACTTAAAAGCTATTTTTATGTCTTATGGTAGGATGCGTTTCCTCCATTCTCCTTGAAAGATTATGTCAAAGGCTAAGATCGCAGGATGGCTCCAAAGTTTGCTTGGAGAAGGATATGCTAAACATTTTCATGTAAATACAGAAACTGGCTTTGCTTTTCAATCTCATCTCCATTGTTTTAAACATGTGTTTAACTCCAGCAAACAGGGATAAAAGGTTAGTCATCCATGGCGGCCATAGATGGCTTTCAGTTTGCTGTTGCATGAGATGAATATTGTTAAGACCGCTTCTGTTTGGTTCTCTACTGGAAGATTGTTTCCTTTACTTTCTGTGAGCTCAGTCGATGAATCTTGTAATCCATGTTCCTGGAAAACTCATTTCTCTTTGTAATTATCATTTATGTTTTGATGTTGAACCCATAAGCTCAAGATTCTTTGCAGACTGAACACAAGCTTAAATAACCAAAAAGAGCAAAAGCCTAAGAAACTGCATCACAAAAGACTAGAGACAAGCCTGTAATTCCGATGGCTTTTCAATAGAGCTTAGGACCATGCATACAAAGAGAATGCTGTAAACTACCGGCAGACAACAACAAACAAAGACTTCACTAACAACTTCTAAGGTGTCTTTTTTTAAATAACCAAAAAGAGCAAAAGCCTAATAAACTGCATCACAAAACACTAGAGACGAGCCTGTAAACTACCGGCTAACAACAACAAAGGCTTCACTAACAACTTCTAAGGTGTCTTGTTTTTTAAACTCTAGAATGCAATGCATCACAAACCAATGAGGCTCTTCTGATCAAGGAGAACACTCCACAAGCTTTGTAACTAGGAAGGAGAAAGGATATTTTCGGAGACAACCTCACTAAGTTGAACATTACACAGTCTACAATCTTCAGTCTTTTGTCGAGCTCCCCTCAGGATCCGGTGATGTTATACTCTCTTTCAGACCCGAAGAAGACATGGGCCTTCTCAGCTCTGTAACACCGCTTTGTTGTTCCTGCTGTTGAATGCGCTGCTGCTGCTGAAGCTGAATCTGATAGAGTTGCTGCTGCTGATGTTGTTTCTGTGACTGGATTTGGAGCTGCTGAAACTGTTGTGCGGCTAACATAGTGTGCCTAGACTGATTATTATTTGGATAGAATTGCTGGTTTGATCCAAAGGAACCATAGTTAATCATTGATGCATCATTTGAAACACCTTGCCCTGTCAATACCTTCAGATGTTGGACTTCCTCTTTCAGTGCCTCATTTAACGCTGTCAAATAAAGTTAACACACTTAATCAAGTAGCACCATCCACAACCAAAACCAATGTTTATTTTGAGAAAAAAGATACTCACCATCCTGCAGGTGAACTTGTTGCTCCATTGACTGTACTCGGAGTTTCAGCTCATTGTTTTCAACACTCAGCCCATTTGTATCTCTCTGAAGACCAGAAAGACAAAACAAATAAGATTAAAACCATATACTTGCAAACTCTAGAATGAGAGGGCCCTACATACCTGTAAGAGAGTCAACTGTGCTGAGAGAGAAGTAGCCTCTGTTTGTAAAGTCTGTACTTTCCTCTCAAGCTCAGCTATATATCTCATCTTCCTTTCCTTTGACCTCGCAGCAGACTGCCTGTTTGCCCATATCCTCTTAGCACGTTTTGGATCAATGAGAGCAAGCTCTGAGAGTTTAGCAGCAGAGAGAGCTTTCTTAGAGTCAACTTCATTCCCGGACATAAGCAACTCAGGCTTAATACTTGTAGTCCCGTCCACAGATTGGCTATGTTGGTGCCTAACTCTCGGTCTTTCACTAGAAGTCGAGGCTAACTCATTCCTCCAAGCCGGTTCAGATGGCTCACAATCCATTTGAGAAGAAGACGCCTCAGAGGAATTAAACTTATCCATGTCAAGATACATAGAGAGTAAGTCCTCATCAGTGTCATCAGAGAAAGAAGGTCCATCAGCAGCAGAAGCAGAACCAACCACACCAAGATCACTATCAAAGCTCAAGTCATCAGGAAGAGTGAGTATCTCTGAGTGAGCTCGGCGGTGGCCTAGATTCTTAGGTGGATTATCTGACATTCTGCTTATATCTGAGCTGTGAGGAAAAGATGATTCAGGTTTCAGTGCAAAGCTACTGTAACGACCTGATGGAGGAAGACCTCCACTAGGAGGTGCTGGAGATTTCTCCTTATCCATTATAACCCACTAATCTGCAAATGATCATTTCCAAAAAAATAATACTAATATTAGGGTTTCAACTTAAGAGGTACAATGAAAACAAAAACTAGCAAAGTCAGTATGATTTTATCTATCATCCCTAACTCAAAACGAAAACCCTAAAAAAATATTAAAAGATTGGGTCTTCTCACACACTTACAGAGAAGAAAATAGAGAAATTATCATGGAAAGTTGATATTTTTAGCTGAAAAAAGTATGAGTAAGTAAGGAGATAGAGAGAAATGGGACCGTAAGAAGGAAAAAAAATCAGAAATTCGAAGAAGAGAAGAACATTCTCTCTCAGAGACTGAAGATTTTACTCTTTCTAGAATGACGCCGTTTGGTGTTGATTTGGTGGATTTATTGTACAAGTACAGAACCGAATCCTAGTTTCTAAAAAAAAATTAATTGTCGGAAATTGGGCGATTATCAGCTGCTTTAGGGTGTTGACATGTACGTTATTCCTGGCCGTTAGATCAGTGAGATGATCATATGTTTAATTTAAATATGTTACTAGATTTTGATCCGCGCAACCGCGCGGGTGTTTGTTTTCGTTTATAGTTAGTTATATAAACATTTTTTTTTCACTTGTAAATTCATATATATTATAGTAATCACATATTTACGATATGTATAGTAAATGTTTTTCAAACATAATAATATTATACAATACGTATTTTAATCAAATAGATTGTTTCAATTTATTTTTATATTATACATGTTTGAAATTTTTCAAACATGTATTTGTTTCTTCTTTTATATTTTATTGTTTGTTAATACATTTTGGATGGATTTAACTATTATTGACATATTTTCTTATAAATAATAGAACATTTCTAAACTTATATCTATTGACTTATTTTGTGTCGCTAATTTGGAAGGTGAGGGGTAATTTACCAAAACCAAATTGTTAAGTGTATCTTTATTATTACAGATATGATTTTTCATAAGATATAATAATAATAAGTTTATTAGAGAGTTAATGTAACATGTGACTTTCTAGTAATAGTCTATTTTTAAAAAAAATCACACATGAAGTCAAGTCATGACTTCTGTTTTAATATATAAGATGTAAACTAATTTTCGTTAAATATTTGAGCTAAACATATTAAGTAGATGCAGTTGACGTAAGATTTTTTTTAGTAACTGATGTAAGAACTTATAAAAGATAGATTAACAGCAATAAGAAAAAATAATTCATAATTTAGTAATCAGATAATTTTCTTTTTTTGATAAAGGGTTTCAATAATAAAAGACCACATATCGGATTAACCATAATGCATGAAGCATGCATGAGTTGTATATTTGTTTCCAAAACTTGGTTTAGAATCTTAACTACTATGTAAAAGATATATGAACTCGGTAATAAATCAAACTTACATGCATGTCATGTGACAATATATCCATAAGCTTACCGGATCTGTTATCGATTTTTATCTGTTTTTGATGGATTTTTGCCGATTTCTTTTGAATATTTTGTTTAGAAGGTGAGGAATAATTAAGAGCCAGTATGCAGCGGTACCTTTGATCTTGATCCATAAATTAAACTAACTCTGTAATTAAAAAAAAAAGTAAAAATATTTCAGAAAATGTGGAAAATGGTCATATAGAAATATTGTACATTTTCTTGACCAAAACCGTTGAGAAAACAATGATTAATGTAACGACCAAAAACTAATTTGATCAACAACTTAGAAAGTATTTTCTAACGGTTAAGTGGATAATCTACAAAAAAGAAGAAGATTATCTGTATATATGCGTTTAATTATTTTTGGCGTAAAATGTATATAGGCGTTTATCATAAACAATTTTATGGACGCATCATGCTCTGGTTAAAAACTATACACATTAGTGGATAAAATTGGTTTCAAAGTTTCGAAACCTTAAGCGTTAAGAGGTAAAAAAGCCTGTTTTTATGACGTACAAGCATTCTTTAAAACTAATGTCCAGGTTTGTACATGTGTATATGCTTAACGTTTAATTCTCGGACTAACCTATCAATCAGAATTGCTACGCCAAAACATTAACAATAGTAAAGCCCTTTCTCATAAAAAAAAACATTAACAGTAGTTCTCATAAAAGTTCTTAAAAAATATTACAGCTCAAATTATCTTAGTGGGAGTTATATTTATATAGAGTTTGTTGATTATAAAAGTTGATGGATTTGTTAAATTTGGAAAGAGTTGTAGAGAGTTTTGTATATTGTAAGAGTTTGTGAAAATAATTTGATATAATGATTCTAAGAATCTAAAGTATATAGGTAGTATTCTCAAAATCTTGTGTTATGAGTTAAATGATGAAGAATACAACTCCCAATAACACCAACTTTAATAGATTTAAAGAATCATTAAAATTAAAACTTTTTGAATAACAATGGATTGTGCATAGAGTTACTAAATCATCAAACCAATAACACTAAACTTTAATGAGAATCTAACAATCTATAAACCAATAACACTAGATTCTAAAATTCTGAGAATCATTATAAATTTTAGTCCCACTAACACCCCCTTAAATGAAATACTTTTGAAATGAGATTGTTTTAATTTTGCAATATATATGGTAAAATATAAATAGTTGTGTATATTTACATTTGAGAAACTTAGATTAAGAACCCACTGAAGTTGCTCTAATTGCTTTATTTATTTCCTGAATAAATGGATTTAATTCTTTTTTCCTCATCTGGAGACAAGGTAAAGTATACAAGTTTATTATCTCGTTGTTAAGTAGTGATGATATCTCAAACCCACCGTTACGATCCTTAATATCCAAAACATTAATTAAACCTGAATGCACCAACATCATCCACTTTATATATCCTCTAACCTTTGTTCAACCATACATACTACTCAAATCTCAAAACACGAACGTACTGCACGATGGGTAGTGAAACCAAGGAGGATAACTCTGGCTCTAGCCGAAACACTGTGCCTAAGGAGAAAAGAGCCTATCTGTTTAGAGAATGGACACAGATCGATGTAATGAGAGCTTCGGCTGTTCTGATCGTACATTTGCTATGTGCCTTGGCTCCTTTTAACTACAAATGGGAAGCCCTCCGGTTCGGTTTTATCCTCTCTGTGGTGACAGGCCTCAGCATTACGTTCTCGTACCATAGAAACTTGACCCACAAGAGCTTTAAGCTACCTAAATGGCTTGAGTATCCGTTTGCTTATTCTGCCCTTTTTGCGCTTCAGGTACATAGTTTTAACCAGAACCGAATCTGAAAATTAAAATTAAAAAGATTTTACACAATTTTAGAATTTTTTAATTTAAAACTAACCAATTGGGTATTCACATTTTAGATTATTTTTAATTTTTTATAATAGTTCATTTAAAATTTGGAGATCAAAATAAATGTGTTCACCGGGGTGTGTGACCAACTGGTTTTGAATTTAACCACAAAAATAAATTTTGAAACAACTAATATATTACTTTTTTTTTTTAACACCAACTAATATTCTTGTATCATCCTTACCTATAGATGAAAATGCCATTTTCGTTGTTGGCAGGGTCATCCAATAGATTGGGTGAGCACACATAGGTTCCATCACCAGTTCACGGATTCAGACCGTGATCCACATAGCCCTATTGAAGGGTTCTGGTTCAGTCATGTCTTGTGGATATTCGACACCAACTACATCAGAGAAAAGGTTAACTCAGCGTTATAAAATCTTTGTAAACCAAATCGATTTTAATTATATGATTTAACTAATGGCACGCACGTACAAGTTGTAACCATGCAAATAAATGTAACAGTGTGGAGGACGTAACAACGTGATGGACTTGAAACATCAATGGTTCTATAGGTTTCTACAAAAAACAACTGGTTACCACATCATGACGTTTTGGACCGTCGTCTATCTCTGGGGTGGTCTACCCTATCTGACTTGCGGCGTGGTAAGAGCAAGCGCATTAACGAACCCCGGTTGGGATTCACAATTTGAGTTTTTATTATTTTTTTTTCGTTTGATTTTTTTTTTATTTAAAAAAAAAAAATTACACTAACTAATAGTGGATTTCACGTGGCGTGAAACCGCAAAACAATGATGAACTCCATCCCTCACAGGTTCACGGGGGAGAACCGGAGAGAGACAGTATTATGGCCAAAAGATTATTTTAATATTTTTTTTTCAAAAATCGTGTGCACTTTAGCCATGTTCTCTCAATGTACATGGTCTAAGGAACTCCTTTTTAATTGAATATCTTAACCATTTTCTCTTCAGATTTTATTTTATTTTACTTTTTTGAGTATGATTCCACAATTTTTTTTATCACTTATCTCATTCATCAATTTTTTTCTCTTTTTAAAGACTAATTTCACTATATATAATGTTTGATTTGTATTAAAATATTATTTTATATATAGTAAAACCAACTGCAACTGCAGGGTGTGGGAGGAGCAATCGGTTACCATGGGACTTGGTTCGTAAACTCAGCATGCCATATATGCGGCTCACGTGCGTGGAACACCAAGGACACTTCTCGTAACGTTTGGTATTTTATACACACTCTATTCTTTACAGACATAAGCACATACTAGATGTAGACAAACCAAACCTAAAATCATAATGTATTACTATTCAGTTTCAGTTTAACTACTAAACCAAACCAATCCATAAAAAGCTGGTCCAAGTTTGGTTAATTACACGTGGTAGACTGTTACCATATGTGGGAACTGATTTCGAGTATTTGTGGTGTAGGTGGCTAGCCCCACTCACGATGGGAGAAAGCTGGCACAACAACCACCATGCCTTTGAGGCCTCGGCTAGGCACGGCCTCGAATGGTATCAGCTAGACTTAACTTGGTATCTTATTCTGTTCTTCCATGCTCTTGGTTTAGCCACCGATGTCAAGCTGCCTTCAGAAGCTCAGAGACGCAAGCTGGCTTTCGTTCGTTAATCTCATCTAGTTCACATCTTTCACCTTTTTTGTGTTTACTACATTTATGTACTCACTTTTAACTGTTATTTATAGAATAGTCTGTTCTCACAAACTAATCTGTTCAACACACCTCAACTTAAAGTACATTCCACATTTCATACAATCTAAGATGCTTAAAAATAATTAAAAACAGTGTTTAAACGATGGACGCTACAGGCTGATTTAAATCTAGATAAAATTGTTTTCCAAATTTCAAAACTTTAAACGTTAAGTGGTATCAAAGATTCATAATGCGTGTATTTTAATGACGTAAAGCATTCGTAAACTATTCAATGAAAATAGTTACAAATGTCCAGGTTTGTACATGTGCCTATTATGCTTAACTTGTAATTCTCGGACCAACCAAACAAATGAACAATCAAATACCGCTACGCTAAAAAATAATGGCTTTATTTATTTCTTAACAAAATCCTTAATTAAAATCAAGGCAAAATACGAGGTAAAGTGTACAAGTTATTTCGTTGTTAAGCAGTGATCACTCAAATCCATCATTACGATACTTAATAACCACAACATTAAGCCTGAATGCACACTATATATATAATCAAACCTTTGGTCAAGCATATAACTCATATATACTTCTCAAAAATCTCAAACACGAACCGATCAGTCCACGATGGGTAAGGAGGACGGCTTTGGTTCTAGCCCAAACGCTGTGCGTAAGGGATCAAGAGCGTGTCTGTTTAGAAAATGGACACGGGTCGATGTAATGAGAGCTTCTGCTGTTGGGATCGTGCATTTGTTATGTCTCATGGCTCCTTTTAACTACAAATGGGAAGCTCTCCGGTTCGGCTTTATCCTCTATGTGGTGACAGGCCTCAGCATTACGTTCTCGTACCATAGAAACTTGACTCACAAGAGCTTTAAACTGCCCAAATGGCTTGAGTATCCATTCGCTTATTCTGCTCTTTTTGCTCTTCAGGTACATATTTTCTTAACTATAACCAGGATTCAAGAGACTATATTTTTTTAATTAATTTTAATAAATTTTTTTTTGATAATTTGGAAATCATGAAATTTGAGGTTTAAAACAATGTTTAATCCGGTTGTGTCCAGAATCGATCTTCGTTTAACCAAAATAAATAAATTATGAAACACGAATATATATATATAGTCCCATATTTGAAATGACATTTTCGTTGTTGGCAGGGTCATCCAATAGACTGGGTGAGCACACATAGGTTCCATCACCAGTTCACAGATTCGGACCGTGACCCACATAGCCCTATCGAAGGGTTCTGGTTCAGTCATGTCTTGTGGATATTCGACACCAATTACATCAGAGAAAAGGTAATACAACGTATTACTAATATTTCAAGTTATGATTTAAAATATAATGGTGATCTAATGTAACAGTGTGGAGGACGTAACAACGTGATGGACTTGAAACAGCAATGGTTCTATAGGTTTCTGCAAAAATCAACTGGTTACCACATCATGACGTTTTGGACCCTCGTCTATCTCTGGGGCGGTCTACCTTACCTAACTTGTGGCGTGGTAAGAAAATCTTATTGAATAAAAATAATTTTACCACTTCCTCTTCAGAATTTTTACTTCTGAAATATGTTTCCATTATTTTTTTTATCACTTATCTCATTCATAAAATTTTCTCGTTTAAATACTAATTTCGCTATATATAATATGCTTGATTTGTATTAAAATTATATCATTTTATATAGTAGAACTAATATTGCAACAGGGTGTGGGAGGAGTAATCGGTTACCACGGGACTTGGTTCGTAAACTCGGCGTGCCATATCTGCGGCTCACAAACGTGGAACACTAAGGACACCTCTCGTAACGTTTGGTATTGTAACTTACTCTATTCCCTACAGACATAAGAACATGTAGAAACCATGCCTAACTAGTCAGTATCCAGTTTCAGTTTGACTATTACATCAAAGCAATCCATTAAAGAAATCCGGTTCACATTTGTTAATTAAACGTTCTTATTAACTGAACGGTTTAAGAACTGATTTTGAGTATTTATGGTGGTGAATGGTGTAGGTGGCTAGCACCATTCACGATGGGAGAAAGCTGGCACAACAACCACCATGCCTTTGAGGCCTCAGCTAGGCACGGCCTTGAATGGTATCAGCTAGACTTAACTTGGTATCTCGTTCTGTTCTTCCAGGCTCTTGGTTTAGCCACCGATGTCAAGCTGCCTTCAGAAACTCAGAGACGCAAGTTGGCTTTAGTTCGTTAAAACTCAGCTCTAGTTCCCATCTATTTCACTTCCAACCTTATTGTTTTCTACTACATTGGTGTACTCAACTTCAACAGTTATTTATTGAACAATCTGTTCTTAAAAAGTACATTCCACACTGCATGAACAAAACACATTATCTTGAAACAGTAACAAAACCTAGAGAGGCAGATGAGTTTTAGAAGATGTAGTCTGGTAACTTCAGAGGAAACTCTTCAACTTTGACTTCGAATTGACCTCCTTTCGGATCTTTCAAACTACATAAAAACGAAAGAACAAAAAAAGTAAATATTCTCCCATTGTTAATCAAAACATCATCGTCCATGAAAAGCATACCTTCCAGGCACAAAGGTGAAAGATCCTTCAATGGATCCACTAGTTGTTGGAAAATTTGAACAACTCTCATACACAAACTCTTCTTCCTCAGGTTGTAAGAGAGGGTACTACACACATTATTACACCAAACCGTATTAGAAAGAAGCTCAGACCCAACATGTATTATAACCAATCAACATTCATACCTTTCCTATCACAGCTTCTCCATTGACTTTATCTATCACCTCATCATCAGCTCGGATAATCCAATGCCTCCAATAAAGCTGACAAGAGCTATGATGTCTCCCGTTCAAGAAGCATCCTTCTGGCATGAGAGACATGCGGATGGAATATGCATACCAGTAAGCAGGTGGGTGATCACGAAGGTTAGATACTTCAGGGATAAACACAGATGAAGCACGTACCTGCATAAACAACTCACAAGACTGTTTCAATCTACTGATTATTAGTAACTAAATAAGCCTATTATTGTTTACCTGAACACCATTAGTTACAGCTACAGAACACAAGGGAGGAACCTCCGGAAACAAACTGATACTCTTGATGTTATCTTGCTCATGGACTTTTATAACACCGGTTTGTAACCTCCTGCCATGTTCTTCCAACCAAAGCAGCATAGCGTCTTGTTGTTCCTGCTCGCCGTTGATGCTGACCAAAGAGTCAGGTACACAAGGAAGCATTTGGCGTGTACTTGTCCCAGTATAAAGCTGTCCGTTACTGCAGTCTAGGAAAAACATTTTCAAACTAGCTGACACGGATGCAGCCACAACGATGAAGTTTGATCCGTTAGAGACACCGAGATCACTCATGGTTTCGTTGGTCTCTCTTATAACTTCCTTGAGGGGTAGCAAGTAGACATTAACTTCATGAGAGTACACAGAATAGCCACCAATAAGGCCTAGAGACCCATCAAGAGCATAGGAGGAGGAAGAAAGTTCTTGGCCATCGACGAAACGGTAGAGAAGCCTTGTGGGGAGAGGAAGTTTGACTTTGAGAGCAGACTCAAACTCTTCAAGTTCATCCTCTGTGGCTCCTTTCCTCAGTGTTGCTTTTGCTTCAGGGAAGTTTAAGCTTAACCATAGTTTGAGATTGTCCCAACAACTTCTAACGCGTTTAACAAGGTTCCATGGATACATTCTAAAGGACTCTCTCCATGACTGATACGCCTCCTGAAAAAAAGAAGACAGAACCTTTAATGTTCTGAAAGGTAATCTTACAGAACAGAACCTAAATTCCACAGTTTCAAACCTTAAAAAAATTCATTAAAAGACTCAAACTTGATGAATATTATTAACCTAGAAAAGGTGAAAAAGAAAATTTTACAGAACAGAACCTAAATTCACAGTTTCAAATACTGAAAACCTAAAAAAAATCATTGAAAGACTCAAACTTGATGAATATTTTTAACCTAGAAAAGGTGAAAAGAAAATCTTATAGAACAGAACCTAAATTCCACAGTTTCAAACACTGACCACCTAAAAAATTCATTGTAAGACTCAAACTTGATGAATATTTTTAAACTAGAAAAGATGAAAAGAAAATCTTACAGAACAGAACCTAAATTTCACAATTTCAAACACTGAAAACCTAAAAAAATTCATTGAAAGACTCAAACTTGATGAATATTTTTAAAGTGAAAAGAAAATCTTACAGAACAGAACCTAAATTTCACAGTTTCAAACACTGAAAACCTAAAAAAAATTCATTGAAAGACTCACACTTATGAATATTTTGAAGCTAGAAAAAGGTGAAAAAGAAACAAATTTGAACCTTGAAGGAAGGAGAAGGATCTCCATGGGGATCAAGAGGAGTAGAGATGTTGAGATCAAGGGAGCAGAAGATTGACCAGAGAGAGTCTTCGGAGGCGGAAGCCTTAAGGCGTTTGCTGGCGCAAGCCACTCTAGCTGTGTTTTCAGGTCCGATTTTGGACAGTATGATGTGGAGAACCAAATCTCCAGCTTCTTCTAGACCCATGGCTTTGGTCGGACGGACTCTGTTGCTTTCTGTCGGCTCTTGGAATGTTTTCAATGAGAAGAAAGTCAAGAAAGCCCTTTTTTTTGTGACACATCCTTCACTTTTTGGATACGTTTCACTTTTTTGTGACACATCCTTCACTTTCTAAATTTGTTCAAATACTATTATGGCCTTCTTCAAAGATAAAACTCTCAGAGTAAAGAAAGAAACACAGAGAGAAAAATAGAGAAACAACACATTATTATTGTCATTAACTAGAGAGCAAATGTTCATATTGTTGAAAGGGCCTCCTCGTCAAAATCAGCTGGATTTACTACGAAGCAACTCCACGAGTTCAGCTTTCTCCATCTTCGAAAACCCTTTTAGCCTCCCCTTGACTTTGCTATCCACCTCAGTTCCATCAGCTTCAGTGTCTTCTTCTTCCACAACTTCTTCATGTAGAGACTCATCAGCATCTGATAAAACATCTAACGTAACATCATCCTCCTCCTCCTCCTCTTCTTGGCATGAGTCTAGCTACAGCTCTGACTCTGACTCAAGAATAGCTGTTAGAAGGTCAGGTTATGATTTCATAGTCAGATTCATGTTCCCCGTACTTAGACGCAATCTCAGTCTCAGCCGACACAATCTCAGTCTCAGCTTGAATTTCGTCTTCAGGTTCATCATGCATCTCTGCTGTATACTTTTTTGCATATTTAAGTCCACCAAAATATGGATGTACACAGATTCGATTTAATATCGGTTTACAACTTCTCCGAACCGAGTTCAATAGCTTTTTAACTGAACCGATAAAACATGAATGCCGCATGTGGTGACTAGTGAACAAATGAATTTAGTTAACCAAATGTTCTGTTCAGTTTGAAACCATTGGTTTGGATTCTGTAAAGAAGTGGTTTGTTTTATTAATAGAGGAAGAAGCTAAGGAACACTTTTCCTCAACATTTGCCACAAATATCTCAGACTCCAGTGGCATGCGTCTAAATTGGAGTTCAGAACGGAAACAAAGGCATACAAAGAGTCTGGTGAAATGAACAATGTCTCCTTGTTGTTACTAGGCCTTGTGGTCTTTAACCAATTCATCAACGTCAAGTTCTACCGCCAGGATTGGAGAATCCTCTCCCATGGAAAATTCACTGTTACAGAGATATAGCTCATATAGTAAGAGAAAAATTAACAGAAAGATTTACTAAGAATAGACGATATAGGCTCTTCTCGTACCTGTTACTTACTGGACCATGATCCACGGCTGTCCTCATACAATATATAGCTCTTCCTACTATGTCCGCCATTGAAACCGGACCAAATGTTCTACTATCATATGCTTCCTATTAAATTTACCCCATTAGAGTCAACACCAAATTATACAGACGTTCACTTTATCTTATAATGTGTGGTGTTGTATGGGAGAGAAACAGAGTTGAACCTTAGATTTGATCTCTTTGTTCTCAGCTATGACCCAGCACTGATCCTTTTCGAGAACAAAAGGCTCCTCTTTCTCATCGCTTGATACCATTTCGGATCCTTCTAAAGCTGCTAGTCTCCTAACTAGATACTTATGTGACTCATTCGGGTCCTTCAAGACAACAGCATCTCCAACGGAAACATACCTAGACCACAAAGAAAAAAAACATGAAGTCCAGCTGAGCATCACTTTTACAACTTACAAGGCACTTGTCCTAATTTCTGTTCAACTAAATCTGCAAAGTAAGAAAATTACGCCTACTTACAACTCCCAAATGCAAGAAAAGCAAGTAAAAAAGTAAATCCAAAAAGTAATAAGTGGTTTATGTAAGAGTCAAACTAAAACCCAAAGAAACATTACCTTGTATCAACATCAGGTAGCTTACGGACAAGGAGTGTGTTATCATGTGGTCCCATGGTTGGAGCCATCCCTTCTCCTTTAACTGAATGCAAGTAGGTGATCCTTCCATAGAGTAGATTCTTCATGACAACACCAATGAACTCTTGGTCAATGACCCTCTCTTTTGTATGATTCTGTCACATTTGAGCAACTCAAGGATGGTAAATCATCAGAAGCAATACAAACTTAGATCAAATCCTAAAATCAAAATTCATATAATATTGCAAAAAAAAAGAGAAGCCAAAAAGGCAAAGCAAGTGAGAGAGAACCTTGAGGCTGAGAGTGAGAGAGTACTCAAGCTTGTGAGCCATGTATCTGACCCAATTCGCCATCTTCCAAAACCCTTCTGCTAGTGTGATCGGAAATGACCCTTTTGCCGCGTCGGTTCTCTCAGACTTCTACTAATATAATTTATTAAATCAACCCCGGAACTATTCACTAGTTTCGATTCTCACCCCTGTATTAAAACATTAACACATTAACCCCAACGTAACGAAAGGATCTGAAACTAAAACCGTATATACTTTCACAACCTGCCACGTGTGTTCATAACCTTTCTCCTCCTCCTCTTGACTACTTCGCCGCTCAAAACATTTCCGACAAGTTCAAGCTTTTAAAGAACCAAAGATAAAAAAAAACAGACCAAACAAGACAAGATTTGATCGTCCGAAAGAAACTACATCTCAGGTTCCACTCTCTTCCTTGAGGATCACCACATCTAATTAGAATTTCAAACTTTTGGTTGATTGATCTCTATACAAATCTTACGATTATGTAGTGTTAGACCCATTACACCTCGAAAATGAGATAAAGTTTGTATTTTTATGTGCAGTGAGTCACAAAAACATGGAAAAATTGAAGATATCTGAATGGGGAGAGAAGCTAAAAACAGGAGGAGCTCAGATGAGCAGAATGGTGAGTGAAAAATTCAAAGACATCATTCAAGCTCCCACCTTGGAATCCAAAATGGTTGATGAAGCTACTCTGGAGACTCTTGAGGAGCCTAACTGGGGAATGAACATGAGGATATGCGCTCAGATCAACAACAAGGAGTTCAACGCTACAAAGATCGTTAAAGCCATCAAGAGGAAGATCTCTTGTAAAAGCCCTGTTAGCCAGAGGCTAAGCCTTGAGCTTCTTGAGGCTTGTGCTATGAACTGTGAGAGGATTTTCTCTGAGGTTGCTTCTGAGGGGGTTCTTGATGAGATGGTTTGGTTGGTTAAGAATGGTGAAGGTGAGAATAGAAAGCGAGCTTTTCAGCTTATTAGAGCTTGGGGACGGTCTAAAGGTCTTACTTATCTTCCTGTTTTCAAGCAGACTTATATGGTAATTAGAAACCTCTTTTGAATCTGGTTTGTGATGGTTTTGTTAATGTGCTTATGATTCTTGTTTGATTGTTAGAGTTTGGAAGGAGAGAATGGTTTAATGGCTAGTAACGAGGAGAATCCAGTGGCGGGGGGACAGAGTTCTTTGGAGTCTCTTATGCAACGGCCTGTTCTTGTTCCTCCACCAGGTAGCTATCCGGTTCCTATTCAAGAACAGGGTCGTGGAGACCATGATGGTGGTCTTCTTGATTATAACTTTGGAAGCTTGTCGATTAAAGATAAGAGAGAACAGATTGAGATTACACGGAACAGCCTTGAGTTGCTCTCTAGCATGTTGAACTCTGAAGGGAAGCCGAATCACACAGAGGTAATCTCACTCATGCCAACATATTCAATGTGTAATTGAGTTTGGAATCTAACGGTAAGCTTGACGGTGTTAATTGTATATGTTATGGTTACAGGACGAGCTAACGGTGAGCTTGATGGAGAAATGTAAGCAGTCACAGCCGTTGATTGAAATGATCATAGAGAGTACAACAGATGATGAGAGTGTCCTTTTTGAGGCTTTGCATCTGAATGATGAGCTTCAACGTGTTTTATCTATTTACGAGAAGCCTGATGAAACTGAGAAGAAGGCATCTAAAGTGGAACAAGAATCATCAGGAAGCAAAGATGCTGCTGGTCCAAAACCAACAGATGAACATCATGTGAAACAAAAAGATGAATCACCAGGATCCTCCAACAAGACTGGTAAAGAGGATAAGCAGGTGAAAATAGAACTCGGGTTGTCGAGTGATGAAGATGAGAAATGAGCAAGACTATTGTTCATCTTCTCACGACATGGTTATCAGAATGTTGTGGAAGCTTTCTTGTTCTTTTGATGTTTTTGTACTTTCTACTATATATGTTTGTGGAACCTTTTTTTCTTAGCTTCATTTTCATTGCTATTGTTTTTCTTGACATTACAAAAATCGTAGGTGAATCTTCACCCAACACCTTCCTCAACGTGTGTAGTAGTAAAAAGATACCGTATACGTGGTGTATTGTCTACGCTTTGAGAAAAGAAAAACTATAAACTCTACTTGAGCCAGAGGCTTCCGTTTTAAAACTTAATATCTAAAACTCTTTCCGAGTTAGAGGCTTTTCTGTTATAAACCTAACTCTAAAATCTCTTCCTTCTTTCTTCGACGGCTCCGCTCAACTCAACAGTTCTCAGCGTCTCGGACGAACCTAATCGCGGATCAATCTTCTTCTACCTCTCACTCTCTACACTCGCTCGCATCTCCGTCTTCCCTAGCTGGTTCGTCCTCTCACTCCTTAACTTCGTTTTGCGCTATCTCATCGAGAGGTTTCTGGTTGTTTCTAGCTTAGGGTTTCTCTTTAGTCCGAGTTTTCACAATTGTACAGTTGATTTGAGCTTAGTGTTTTTACTCGATTCAAGTTAGCTGAAGTTTTTAGTCGACTCGAGCTTAGGGTTTTGCCTCGTACTCTCACTGACGCTTTGGACGTTTCTGTTTATTGTGTGTTTGTGCTCACCGTTTTGATAGTTGACTCGTCGTTAAACCGTAATGTTCTCCAGATCCGTGAATGGATTTTCGTTTATTAGGGAGAGTTAGTGGCTCATTGGTTTCGGATTAAATGAATAATGTTGCAGGAGCTTTGTTATGGACGAGCTAGGTTTTCTTGTGGTGTTCTGATTTGAGTTTGAGGCGTTTTTCTTTGTTGTTAATCTTAACTATGGGATTCTTGTTGACAGGTTTATATAAAGATGGATGATAGCTTGTATGATGAGTTTGGTAACTACATTGGACCTGAGATTGAGTCTGACAGAGAGAGTGATGATGAAATAGAGGACGAGGAGTTTCAGGATAAGCAGCCTGAAGAGGATGGATCAGATGGAGAGCATGGGCCTGGGGGTTCTAACGGATGGATTACGACGATTAATGACGTTGAGATGGATAACCAGATTGTTCTCCCTGAGGATAAAAAGTATTACCCTACCGCAGAGGAAGTTTATGGAGAAGATGTTGAGACGTTAGTTATGGATGAGGATGAGCAACCTCTCGAGATGCCGATTATCAAACCTGTCAGAGATGTTAGATTTGAAGTGGGGGTTAAGGATTCTACAACGTACGTGTCGACTCAGTTTCTCATCGGTCTTATGTCTAATCCAGCGCTTGTGAGGAATGTTGCTCTTGTGGGGCATCTACAGCATGGGAAGACTGTCTTCATGGATATGTTGGTTGAGCAGACGCACCATATGTCTACGTTTAACGTTAAAAACGAGAAGCACATGAAGTATACAGACACAAGAGTTGATGAGCAGGAGAGAAACATTTCAATCAAGGCGGTTCCGATGTCACTTCTCCTTGAAGACAGCAGGTCTAAATCATATCTATGTAATGTCATAGATACCCCGGGTCATGTGAATTTCTCTGATGAAATGACGGCTTCTCTAAGACTCTCTGATGGTGCTGTTCTAATTGTTGACGCTGCCGAAGGAGTGATGGTAAGTGTTTGCTTCTGTTTTTAAGTCTAAAGTTGTTATTTGAAATCTGTTACATGTATTAACGATATGTCTTTTCTTTAGGTGAACACTGAGAGGGCTATAAGACATGCAATCCAGGACCATCTTCCTATTGTTGTTGTGATCAACAAGGTACATTTCCATGCTCTCTTCATTGTGTAAATTAAGATACATTGCGAGATTTATATTTCTAGACATTCTACTGGACCTTTGTAATATGTCAATTATTTTTCGCAACAGGTTGACCGGCTCATAACCGAGCTCAAACTACCTCCAAGAGATGCTTATTACAAGCTGAGGCATACAATTGAAGTCATTAATAACCACATATCTGCTGCTTCGACGACTGCTGGAAACTTGCCCCTTATAGACCCAGCAGCTGGAAACGTGTGCTTTGCCAGTGGTACTGCCGGATGGTCCTTCACTCTGCAATCTTTTGCTAAACTGTATTCGAAGCTTCATGGGGTGGACATGGACGTGGATAAGTTTGCATCTAAGCTTTGGGGAGATGTGTACTATCACCCTGATACTAGGGCGTTCAAGAGAAATCCTCCAGTAGGTGGTGGGGAAAGAGCATTTGTTCAGTTTATTCTGGAGCCTCTATACAAGATATACAGCCAAGTGATAGGTGAACATAAGAAGAGTGTAGAGACCACCCTTGCAGAACTAGGAGTGACCCTGAGTAATAGTGCATATAAGCTGAACGTCAGACCTCTACTTAGGTTAGCCTGTAGCTCAGTCTTTGGTTCGTCATCAGGTTTCACTGATATGTTGGTAAAGCACATTCCTTCTCCCAAAGAGGCTGCAGCTAGGAAGGTGGACCACACATACACTGGACCCAAAGATTCTACCATTTACGAATCAATGGTAGAATGTGATCCGTCTGGACCTCTCATGGTTAATGTGACAAAGCTGTACCCCAAATCAGATACTAGTGTGTTTGATGTGTTCGGAAGAGTTTACAGCGGTAGGCTTCAAACAGGCCAAAGCGTACGTGTACTAGGAGAAGGGTATTCACCTGAGGATGAAGAAGACATGACTATAAAAGAAGTGACCAAGCTGTGGATATATCAAGCTAGGTATAGAGTACCTGTAAGCAGTGCCCCTCCTGGTTCGTGGGTTTTAATCGAAGGTGTAGATGCCTCCATCATGAAAACCGCGACTCTCTGCAACGAAAGCTACGACGAAGATGTCTACATATTCCGACCACTACAATTTAATACCCTCCCAGTTGTCAAGACTGCTACTGAGCCTTTGAATCCTAGTGAGCTGCCTAAAATGGTGGAAGGGCTTAGGAAGATTAGCAAAAGCTATCCCCTTGCTATTACCAAAGTTGAAGAGTCTGGTGAACATACTATTCTAGGCACAGGGGAGTTGTACCTGGATTCTATCATGAAGGATCTCAGGGAGCTCTATTCAGAGGTCGAAGTAAAGGTATGTAATTGTTTTTATAACTTGGATTTTTGGCTGTGATTTGTTTGTTTGGGTCTTTAAAATTCATTTCACTTTCTTAAATTTGTAGGTCGCAGATCCAGTTGTCTCTTTCTGTGAGACAGTGGTTGAATCTTCGTCGATGAAGTGTTTTGCTGAGACACCAAACAAAAAGAACAAGATAACTATGGTAAGAAATCTTCCCTTTCCTCTATTACTCCTTGTGTATAGGACTGTGATGTTTGATATAGTGCTCAAGTACAATTACTTTTGTAACTAATTTAATATATGCTTCATGCCAAAGATCGCAGAGCCATTGGATAGAGGACTTGCAGAGGACATTGAGAATGGTGTCGTAAGCATTGACTGGAACAGAAAACAACTCGGGGACTTCTTCAAGACGAAATATGACTGGGATTTACTTGCAGCACGTTCCATTTGGGCGTTTGGCCCTGACAAACAGGTGAAAATGCATTGTTTGTTTTCTTAAGATCCCGAAAATTTAGAGCACTCTCTTTATCTTTATTATGGTTGGTTTGTGATTTGGCTCCAGCAAGCATTACGTGTTTTTTGGCTAGTTCATATCTTGACGGTTGTTTCTTTACTGATCAGGGTCCAAATATTTTACTGGATGACACACTCCCAACTGAGGTTGACAAGAACCTGATGATGGCAGTGAAAGACTCCATTGTTCAAGGGTGATCGTCTTCCTCCTGCCACACTTCACTTTGGTTCCATTTTGTTGGCTGCAGCTAAATGGCTTCGTTTTTATGTTTTTACAGGTTCCAGTGGGGGGCGCGAGAAGGACCACTGTGTGATGAGCCCATCAGGAATGTCAAGTTTAAAATTGTTGATGCCTGGATAGCACCAGAGCCGTTGAACCGAGGATCTGGTCAGATGATTCCAACAGCACGTCGGGTTGCTTACTCATCTTTCCTCATGGCAACTCCGAGGCTAATGGAACCTGTCTACTATGTGGAGGTATGATATCTCTTTCTAGTCTCTTTCGCCTTACTTTTTACTCTTTTACCTTCTTCCTTTTCTAACAATATAATTGTGCTTGTATCAGATACAAACTCCAATAGACTGTGTAACTGCTATCTACACGGTTCTGTCACGTAGACGTGGTCATGTTACATCGGATGTTCCTCAGCCCGGTACCCCGGCGTATATCGTGAAGGTTAGTTTGTCTTTATTATGTGTTAATAAGTGATCCATCATATAAACAGAGTGATTCATTGATCAGTTGTCTTGTTGTCGTGATGATTCAGGCTTTCTTGCCAGTGATAGAGTCATTCGGGTTTGAGACAGATCTCAGGTACCACACACAGGGACAAGCCTTCTGCGTATCAGTGTTTGATCACTGGGCCATAGTTCCAGGAGATCCTCTCGACAAATCCATTCTATTGCGCCCACTTGAGCCAGCTCCCATTCAGCACCTAGCTCGTGAGTTCATGGTGAAGACCCGCCGTAGGAAGGTATCACTCCGGATCATTCAAAAAGTATTTATATGCTTAAGCACCTTCAATCTCTCACGATCATATAAATGGTGTTGGGTTTTGTAGGGAATGAGTGAGGACGTAAGCGGGAACAAGTTCTTCGATGAAGCAATGATGGTGGAGCTAGCGCAGCAGACAGGTGATCTGCATCTGCAAATGATGTGAGATCGTCTCTTTACCTAAGTGTGGGCTTATATGCAGGACTAGTAGCGTTACCTGTCTCTTATGTGTGAAAGAGAACACAAGAAATACGTAGATCCAAATTCCTCCGACTCTTTTTCAATTAATATAAATAGACATTCAAGTTAGTGTATCTTTTCAATCAAGTTTGGCAATGAACATCATCTTATTCGGTTTCAAGTGATTTGTCATGTGAGTAGCTGATTTTCCAACGTACTGGTGACGCAATACTTGAAAGAATGTTATTGTCATGAGCTAATGTCACATAACTGTGTATCACAGGATTTTCTGACCAAAATATTAATTAATATTGTACAAATACACTATCAAAGTTTAATTAAAAGAAAATAACATTTAAAATTAAACTGTATTGTAAGAATCTAAATATCTAAGTTATCTGATTTGATAATGACAAATACATAGAAAACTTTACATCAAAACTTTGATTATAAATTAGAAATGTAGAAAATAATGACCAGTAGATTTATACCTCAAAAGAAGAGTGGCGGGTTTCTTTTCAATATACTTTTAATGACTTACAATATTCAACGTTGATAAAAAATCAAAATTTAAATGTAGAATTTAGTTATAAAGCATATTTTCAAAAAATATCTAGGAAATATATGATCATTTTTCTTTTACTTGAGTGCTTATATTTCTAGATTTTTTAAGGATTTTTGCCAAGTTGATTTGTTGTCGGCCCAACACTAAAAATCTCCGGGTCGGGTAAGAAAAAGCAAAACTCAAACGCGGGTTGTTGTTCTTCCTCTCTCTCTCTCTCGGCGGCGCCTTCTCTCTCCCAAACTTCGAAGGTAAGCTTCCTCCGATTTCAATTTTCCTTTCGCATACTTTCCCCTGCTTTCGTTTCTCACCTCATGCCTTCTCCTTCTTCTTCTTCTCCCCAAGGTTTTGTGTCGATCTCGAAGCTCAGAGAGATTCCAATGACCTAATTGTCTCCCTTCTCGTCAAAACCTATTTCCAAAATTCTCAGAGGTTCTATCCACCGTTACGTCCAATTCATCTCTGTGACGTAAAAACCCTAATTCTGTGGGCATTTTGCTTTGCTCACTCTCTGAATCGAACGAAGGTGTCTTCTGAAAATTAGGGTTTCTCATGCTGGAGGATAATTTCTGTCTGAATTGAGCGATACCTTTGAGTTTTAGACGAGAGAAGTGCAGAAAGGCATCACTTTTGGACAACCAAGGCGTGAAATTAGGGTTTTTGAAGTATATGTATGGCTTCAGAGCCTGTTAACGGAGAAGGAACCAGTGGAGTGAGAGAGAAGCAAAAGATTAAAGTTTATACGAGGAAAGGTAAGGGTCAGAGGAAGTTGTCACCGTTCTTTGCCTTTGAGCGTGTTGATAACAGCTCGAAACCAGAGAAGGAGAAAGAAAACAATCATGTGAGCCCACCTGAAACTCTAGCTCAAGTGTCTGAGAAGAGTCCTGTTCAAGAGGCTTCTCTTGAGACCAATACTCAGGATGATTCTGTGTCTGGTGTAGCTAAAAACTCAGATGAAGCACCTTCTGAAAACCCACCAGGTGATGTTTCTGAGAAGGTGATTGATAAGCAAGCATTTACTCAAGCCGAACCTGAGGATGAAGCTAGTTTGGCCCCTACTGATAAGAACATTATTCAACCTGTCCCAGGTCAGGAAGATGCGAGCACTATTATAGGAGACAAGTCTGTGGAAGTACCCTCTCAAACTCAAGATGATGTCAATACAGTGATTGTTGATGAGAACTCTATCAAAGAGCTTCCTAAAGGCGATGCTCAAGAAGATGTTACTACCATGATTGTTGACAAGAAGGCTATTGAAGCACCTTCTCAAACCCTATCTGCGGAAGATGCCAATACTGTTGTCGTTGACAAAAATCCCATTGAAGTGTCTTCTGATGAAGATGTCCACGTGGTAGGTGCAGATAATCTGATAAAAGAAGCGCATCCTCAAAATCTTGTTGCAAGAGATGCCGCTGATACTCAACAGCCAGCAGGGGTTACTTCTGATTCTGCTCAGAGCATCCATGCTACTGCTGCTGAAAGCATGCTAATGGAGGAGGATGTAGATGGACGCATAAAGATACATGTACCCTCCAAGTCGAAGCAAGAGAAAGAAGAGATTAGGAAGAAGCTTGAGGATCAGCTTAATGTGATCAGAGATCTGGTAAAGAAGATAGAGGACAAAGAGGGGGAGATTGGTGCTTATAATGACTCTCGCGTTTTGGCTAGCACTAATATTAATAATGGAGGAGGCAGGGTCCTTTCAGGGTTCGCGTCTGATGGACTTCCTCGTGAGGTCATCAGAACACCAAGGCATTTAAATCAACTAAGTATATCAGTGTTGGAGACTACTCAAGGAGCCAATGAGCATGTGGAGAAAGAAAAAAGAACACCCAAGGCAAATCAGTTTTATAGAACTTCAGAGTTTTTACTTGGTGACAAGTTGCCACCTGCAGAGAGTAACAAGAAATCAAAATCAAGTGCAAAGAAGCACGGAGGGGAGGCTGGGCATGGTTTTAGTGCAGGCTCTAAAGTTTACAAGAATTGCACTGCTCTACTAGAAAGGCTGATGAAGCATAAGCATGGTTGGGTGTTCAATGCTCCTGTAGATGTCAAGGGTCTTGGTTTGCATGATTATTTTGCCATTATCGAACACCCAATGGATTTGGGAACTGTCAAGTCCGCGTTAACAAATAAACTGTACAAGTCGCCAAGAGAATTTGCAGAGGATGTTAGACTTACGTTCCACAATGCTATGACATACAACCCACCAGGACAAGATGTACATATAATGGCGGAAGTGCTATTACAGATGTTTGAGGAGAGGTGGGCTGTCATAGAGGCAGATTATAATCGTCAGTTGAGATTTGCCACTAGTTATGAGATGAATCTTCCAGCTTCTACAATGAGGTCTAGATTGGGTCCTACAATGCCACCACCGCCTATCAATGTGAGTAATTCAATGGATTGGAGTAGTCACCCTTCTGACTTGCAGCACCCAAAACCAACAACAACGCCTGGCAGAACTCCGACCAGTGCAACACCATCTGGAAGGACACCTGCTCTGAAGAAGCCAAAGGCAAACGAACCAAACAAAAGAGATATGACGTATGAAGAGAAGCAGAAGCTTAGTGGCCAGTTGCAGAATTTGCCTCCAGAAAAACTGGATGCGATTGTACAAATTGTTAACAAGAGGAACACTGCTGTGAAGCTACGGGATGAAGAAATTGAAGTTGATATCGATAGTGTTGATCCGGAGACCCTGTGGGAGTTGGATAGATTTGTAACCAACTACAAAAAGGGATTGAGCAAGAAAAAGAGAAGAGCTGAGATAGCCATTCAAGCTAGAGCAGAAGCCGAGAAAAATAACCAACAACAGATGGTACTTGTATTTCTTCTGAAAATTCACTTATTTTTCCGTGCTCGTTTCATGTTCATATATATATATTTTGTCGTTTGTTACAGGCTCCAGCACCAGTGGCACGTGAGTTTTCTAGGGAAGGTGGCAACACAGGTAATTTTGCCGGATAATTTATGAGTTGCACTTTCCTCTGTATGGTGTGAAGTACTTTGGGTTTATGATTGCTTCTGCTTTATTTTTGATCAGCTAAAAAGACGCTCCCAACAGCAGTACCTACTCAAGTGGACAAACAAAACAATGAGGCAAGCAGATCAAGTAGTTCAAGCAGCTCTTCCAGTAGTTCCAGCTCTTCTAGTGGTACATACTTGTCTTTGAGTTAAATGTATTGCCTTGGTGCTCTTGTGATTTTTCTTACTAAACGACCTTTGTGGTTTGTCTGCAGATTCGGACAGCGATAGCTCTTCGTCATCTGGATCATGATCAGAGCTAGAGGCTACTATACAAGAGGCGTCGGTGGTGAAAAATATGTAAGGTGATCCAAAGATATCTCTATTAAGCTTTTGTTGACTGTTTGCTAAATAGCGCATGTGTTAATGTTATTCTATTCAACGGCATCTTACTTGACTGTTTTGGTATGGTTGTAAACGTGTAATATTTTGTACGTGGTATGGTTCATAATTCTTGGTTCCGTATGGATTTACTCTGCCTGATTATATAACCATTTTTTATGCTATGTGGTGAAACAGGTCGTTTAAAAAGATGGAAGAGGTAGAGTTAGAAGAGCATATGGGAGGTCAAGGATGGTGTGACGTACAGTCTTGAGGCAGAAATATTACAGAGGGGGTTGGATTTGGTGGAAGGAAAGATTGTATTATATTTTGATGTCTGTTAAGAGTAAAAAGTAAAATCTATTCTTAATATTATTTTTTTTCTCTGTTTTAGAATTGGTAGGATTCTGTAGCTGTGGCTGTCTACGTTTAGATGTAACGGTAGGGTTGGTTTGGTTTGTCTCCGCACTTTTGTATATCTCTCTGCCTCTGGTCTTTAGCAGGTTTAGTTGGGTTGACTATTTCATGTTTTTAGTTTAGGGCTTTTGAATCACCAAAAAAAGAAAAATCATCACAACAGATTATGGATTATTGATGACTTGTGTATTGTAAGATTGTGAGTTTGTCACCACTTTGTAGCTTTGTTCTCTCCTTTGCTTCCAAAAACTACATTAACCTCACTCTCTTCTATCCTTCTGATTCGATCTAACACATCTACCTAAAGAAAGTGAGACCTGTGGACTTACTTGCTCGATGACGATGTCATTTGTATTACTGATGTGAAGTCGTTAGGCTTTTGACAGTTTTATCTAGGCCTGCGGTTTTTGTTTGCCGATCAAACCGATGCAAACCAAAAATTCCAGTTCGGTTATGGTTTTGATTTCGGTTTAGCTCGGTTATCAGTTCAGTTTGGTTTTTGATTTTTTTTTAAAAAATATAAGCCGAAAATAAATGAAAAATAGAACAGCCTTTAATTGAAAACCTCCAAAATAATCAAATTTTACCGAAAATATCTGATTTATTTTGGAAAATTATATCGAAATTAACCAAAAACTAAAACAACCAGAATCAAATCGAAATTTAATTCAGTTAATTTCAGAATCGAATTCAAAACCTCGGTTAATCGAAAACCAACAGTTCAAAGCAGGGCTAGTTTTTTATCCATGATTCTTTAATTATCAAATACAGCACGAACTGTAAAACAAAAACTCAGGATTCTTTTGGTAAAAATAAATAGTTTAGGGGCTTTGTTATAGTATTAAACAAGATTTAAGAGTGTCTCCCGTGGAGTGGTCGTGAACCATCGGAGAAGAATGGTTAGAATGTTGCTTCATCTCCGTCCCTTTCCGACCACATCTCTGTCTCGTTCTCTCACAACTCTCTCTTCTTCTTCCTCCTCCTCCTCTTCTCCTCTGACACAACAACACAAACTTTGGTCTGGTCTCGAAAATTGGAGAAACAGTCCCATCAACGACCTTCGTCACTGGGGACCTAACGGTCCTTTCCTTCCTTCTTCTTCTTCTGACTCCAACTCCTCCACTTTCCACAATCTAGTCTCCGCAGCTTCTTCTCTCGCTGACCTCGGAGCTCTCGTGCTCTCAACCTCCGACCCTCTCTCAAAATCCCACATCTCACACTTAGCTTTCTCCCGTTGGCGCCGTGACAATACTCTCCCCGTTGGCTCCATCTCTCACCTCCCTTCTTCCCCCGCTCGTCCTCCCAAACCACTCCTCGTATATGTTCCTCACTCTCAAAGTTTTGATTTTTAATACAGACAGTTTAGTTTTGTCGGAAAACCAAATTCATTTATTATGACAGGGTTTACGATTAGAGTTTAGTTCCGACCAATGAAGTTTAGTTTTGTTTTTGTCGGAAAATTAAAGTTAGTTTTTTTTTGTTATTGCAGGTTCCGACCAATGAAGTTCCAAGTCCGAAAGACTCAGACCTTCCTCTCAATGCCTATATGCTTCATAACCTCGCTCACATAGAGCTCAACGCTATTGACTTGGCTTGGGACACTGTTGCTCGCTTCTCTCCTTTTTTAGATGTTTTGGGATACAAGTTCTTTGATGACTTTGCTCATGTTGCTGATGATGAGAGTCGTCATTTCATGTGGTGTTCTCAGAGACTCGCTGAGCTTGGTTTCAAGTTTAGTCATTTTACTATATATAAAGTTTCAAACTTTTTTTGTTTCAAGACAACACCTTTTTTTGAAAAGTCATCTTATTGTCTTCTTCAAGGTATGGAGATATACCGGCTAATAATTTGTTGATGAGGGAATGCGAGAATACATCTAACAATGTCGCTGCTCGCTTAGCTGTTATCCCTCTTGTTCAGGTCACTAGGGACACTGTCACAAAACTTAAGCTGAATAATATTAGCTTAGCATAGCCTTACCAAGTTAAGCTTTACAGGAGGCTAGAGGACTAGATGCTGGACCTAGGTTAGTCAAGAGGCTGATGGGATTTGGAGATCATAGGACTTCAAAAATAGTGGAAAAGATTGCTGATGAGGAGATTGCACATGTAGCTGTTGGTGTAGACTGGTTTCTCTCCGTGTGTCAAAAGATGAACCGTGCTCCTTGCCCTACTTTTAAAGGTACTGACAAGTGACAACTATTCTTCTCTTCCATGGTTTTTTTAACTCATCATGTATACCCCTCATTTTTATACAAACGTCATGTGCAGATTTGATAAAAGAGTATGGTGCTGAGTTAAGGGGACCTTTTAACCACCCAGCTCGGGAGATAGCTGGCATACCACGAGATTGGTAAGGAAACTCATCCCACCAAGATGGTGTTGTAAAAAAAGCTCGAGTCATTTTCATATAAAACTAGCTCATCCAACTGCCTTTCTCTATGTGTACGCACTATGGCACTCTTCAATTTAGCATAATAGATTATATTGTTACATGTTTCTTTAGGTATGATCCCTCATGTGCCACCGAAGTGGATGAAGGCGGCAACAAACAGAGTGACAAGGAGCCACTTTCTGCGGTATGTTTCATCTTTGTCTCCTTTGCCTCCATCGCTATCTCTCCGTAGGATGCAAATCTTGCTGAACATTTAATCTTAAATTGAAGTACTTATGTATGAACTTCATCATGACAGGTTTACGATAGGCTCACACACATAATCTCAATGGAGAGTGAGAATTCAAGTCTCGAGAGGCCAGCCAAATGAAATGAATGTGTGGCCTAACTTATTGGGGCTCTGAAAGAGATTAATGCTTAGTTCAAATCTAGCTTCAGCTTATAATTTTCCTCTCTCAGTGCTGCTTCCATTTGAGTTTCTCAGATTGTTGTTAGCATGTTTATGGCTTTGTTGCTTGTGGATAACTATAGTAGTGGAGATGCATTAGAGTTGATCCAGGGAACCAAATTTATGTTATGCTCTTGTTAGTATCCAAGATACGTTGTTATTATGTTTCAATAATATTCAAGTCGTTCTTGGATTGCATTTCTATAAACTGACAGTGATTTGGCCCTTAGATTCTATGTTCTTCTAATTGAATTTTTTGTGTACCACTAAAAAACATATTGTCCGGAACATTTTATAAGTGTTTAAACTTGTATAGGTAAAAGCTTTTGTAGGCTGTTACTTATTTATGGGGTCATCACCATCATCTTCATACCTATGGATATCCAGCTTCCATGTCCCATCATCCATTTGAATCATCCCTTTGTTTGCAAGACACCTCCATGTACTTGGCACTAAGTACTTATCTTTCAGAGCATCTAATCCTTTATTGACCAGCGCAACATCCCGACCAATCACCAGCTTAAATAGCCCGGATTTGTCTTGCATCCCCGCTATACCGTGCAGGTATATCTCCAGGTTATGGTAGTTCCTCCAGTTCAGAGACCGTTTCAGGTAAGTAGAGTTCAGTGTATTGATCTGAAGTTCCTCTCCTACTTCTGCATACCATAAGAGTGGATAATTTGGTGCCACATCCGGAACGTTTACTATTCTTAGGATGTTTAGTTGTTTGTGTGAGTTGACAACATTTTTGAAGTCTTGGTCTCCAATTCTAGGACATCCGAAAGCAAAAACTGTGATAGGAACTTGTTTTGTCTGAAGACCTGTTTCAATCATGTTTTTCCTGCTATGTACAAGATCTGCAGCTGCTAGAGTTGACATAACTCCTCCCAAGCTATGGCCTGTGAAAGTGATGCTTACTTCTTCGTTCTTGTATACTTCTAGCAGTCTCTTGAGCTCTGCTTGTACCTGAAACCGAAACCAAGACACAGTGCCATTAGGAGAAAGGGTAAGAAATGGAAGTGATGTTGCTGTGATGATAAAGGGTAAGGTGAAGAAGACCTGTTCTCGTGCGCTAGTTTTGTCATAAGGAGACGAGACATCAGAAGCTGTGTAGACATCAAGCCAACCACTTCCAATACGAGGCACGTGTTTGGTGTCTGTTACAGGGAAAACTTTGACACCTGACTCAAGTGGAAAATCAAAATCATTAGCCCATTCATATGGCTGAAGAGTTCCTCTCCAAGCTACAACAATGTCTCTCCTCCCTAACATTGCCTTTCCCTCGTCTGTAGCTACTGCAATGTAACCCATCCAGTTAGTCTGCACACGTGACGCTTTATTTGACAAAGACTTGACTATGAAACAGAGTGGTAGCTTTATAGAAGCTGTTGCGTAGATGTACTTAGTCACATTGTACCTGAGAAATCAAACCATAAGTTTGCATTTACATGGTCCAAACAAAGATGAAAGGATTTGTGGTAAGTTACCTGAAAGGGTTGGCTTTGAGATAGCCAGTTCGAGCATGGATTTGACTCTTAGAGTAATAACAATCACCGCAGTATTCAGACTTACGGTCCCAGTTAAAGGCGTCATAACCAACCTGAGCCATCTCGCCATAGTGAATGAGATAGCGACGCAGGTCTGGGTCAAGTGGATCAAGCAGGTCTTTCCATTTGTTTTGGCCACTTAGCACCTCCCATCTCTTTGGTATGTCTTCCAACATGTTTGCCTTAGTACTTTTCACCAACCTTTCCTTGATCTTGCGTTTGTTTGGACAGCAACATTGCTACTTGTGTGAAGTAACTGGATAAAAAGTGAAGAAACTGGTCCTTAACGCATGTCCTTCACATAAATAGTACCCATATAAGTGTTTGTTAAGTGTAGGCATGTTACAATCTGTATGAGATGAGACAGAAGGAAGCTTGTTCCATTAGAACTGCATCAAAATGCAAAACGTGTGACCAAGAGAGAAGCCACGACACTGAAGCTTATAATACCAGAAACCAAAACTCATTTCCCAAACAAACAAAAAATGCTGAATGCACTTAGAAACTCTAACCTGGCTCTTGTCGTTTTGTTATGCTTTGTTCTGATAACTTCAAGGTTATGTTCAGTCCATTCCTCTGTGTATCACCCAAAAACCTTGAGGGAACGGTTCAAGAATTGGCTTCAAACACACAGGATATTATATGGAGGAAAAGAGGAGTGGATGCTACGGTTTGGGATATACCAATCTAATCTCCAGCTGATAGACCACATCAACTCCCTCCACTTACCCTTTAAGTTAACAGACAACAGATTTGCAGACATGACCAATGCTGAGTTTAAGGCACATTATCTTGGGCTGAACACGTCTTCCTTGAGGTTTATCAAGGACCAAAGGCCGGTTTGTGATGCACTGGGCAATGTGCCAGCCTCTGTGGACTGGAGGAAAGAAGGTGCAGTGACTCCTGTTAGAAACCAAGGAAAATGCGGTATGAAAGTCTATGCTCTTACACAGTTCATTCTTAAGATAAAGACATGATTGTGTTGTTTCTTTTTTCTTCTGTAGGAGGTTGCTGGGCGTTTGCTGCAGTGGCAGCTATTGAAGGAATCAACAAGATAAAGACAGGGAACTTAGTATCTCTCTCAGAACAACAGCTCATAGATTGTGACGTCGGCGCTTCCAACAAAGGTTGTGCCGGTGGATTAATGACAACAGCATATGAATACCTCAAAACCAATGGTGGACTCGTCACTGAGGCTGACTACCCATACACAGCCACACAGGGTACATGTGACCAAGAAAAGTCCCAAAACAAGGTAGTTACTATACAAGGATACACAAAGGTCGCAGAGAACGAGGCAAGTCTACAAGCCGCTACTGCTCAACAACCAGTATCAGTTGGAATAGACGCTTCTGGTTTTATCTTTCAGCTTTACTCTTCTGGTGTATTCACAGGCTTCTGTGGAAGCATTCTCAACCATGGGGTGACTGTTGTTGGATATGGAGAAGAAGATGGTCAAAAGTATTGGATTGTAAAGAACTCATGGGGACCTGGTTGGGGTGAACAAGGCTATGTAAGGATGGAACGTGGTTATAGTGAAGAGACGGGCAAGTGTGGTATTGCTATGCTTGCAAGCTATCCCACGCAGTGATCCGTGAGTCTCGAGAAGCTTTAGAGAGCCTTTTTAAACTATATGACAATATGCAATAGCTAAAATAATTATGAGTTGTTAAAATAAAGTACTAGAGATACTTGAGAACCAAGGATAGAAACATGTGTTTGGTCATGTGTTAAGTACACAAGATTCACTTGAAAAATGCATTGATACTTTCTTCTAGAAGCATCATGTTTGGGTCTGATTCCCATAACAATAGGTTTGGAACCGAGTCATCATTTAACAGTAACTTTGAAGATTCACTCTCTACTCTAAATTAAAAACACATATGTAAAGTTTATTGTCAATTCCAAAACTTAAAGCACACATACACATACTTACATTTGGCTGGCCTTTCGAGACTTGAATTCTCACTCTCCACAGCTTCATCATCAACGTCTTCATCTAGAGACTGATCATCATCATCTGATAAAACATCTAAATTCTAGCTGCAGCTCTGACTCTGGCTCAAGAATAGCTGTCACAGAGCCAGGTACTGAATCAAAGTCTCAGACACAATCTCAGTCTCAGCTTGAAGTTCGTCTTCTGGTTCATCATGTATCTCTGCTGCATCGCAAACCAGCCTTTTGTTCTGTTTGACCTCGAGGAACATGCGTTCATCACAGGAAAACGTGCCTTAAACTCAGCAATGGTCATGTCCGCAAACATGTTGTCTTTTAACTTGTAAGGCAAGTCGAGGGAGTTGATGTAGTCTATATACTGGAGTTTAGACTTGTATACCTCAAAACGTCTCATCCACTCCTTTTGTCCTCCGTATGAGATGTTGTAGGTTTGAAGCCACTTGTCGAGTATTGGGGTCACATGTCAGACGTCTTCAGTGATCCAGAGAGAAGGAGCCAAGAAATCTAGTCGCAAAACTAGAGAAGGTAGCAGAACTAGAGAAGGAGGAGCCATAAAATCTAGCAGCAGAACCAGAGAAGAAGGCGAGATTACAGGCTGCTACTGACCCTATAATATTATGAGTTACCATACAAGTTTTTTTTTTACTATAAACACCACAAATTGCATTAAAAAGAAAAAGAAAACCTCAAGAACGTATAATTAAGCCATAAGCAATTACTAACATGTAGCATGCATTCACTAGAACTTAAGAATCAATTGCTTAAAGGGAGATAATGCTGTTTAAACCCATTAATCACTGCATAACATTGTTGCCTTTGATCTTGCCTTAAATTTTCGTAGCCAACTTGCAAATTCCTCGATATATATCCACCGTTGATAACGTCCCGGTTCACACCAACACCATTGTTATTAACACTAAACCCATCTGGTCCACTTGAGTTTAACGCTAATCCATTTTTGTTGTGGTTATTATTATTGAAACCAATGAGAGGCTGATTATGAACTAAGCTTTTGTAGAGCTTGAGCTCTTCACTGATCCTCCTATACTCTCCGTATGAGCCAAGGACGGGATCTTTCTGTCTCCATAGAGCTTCCCATGTCAAAGATTCAGAGAGCTTGGTACGGTCCTCTTCACGTACGGTCCGAACCATTTTCTGTACGTTACTAACACCAAACACTTTGTGAACGGCCTGAAACTCTTTGGTCTTGCGAGCTGGAAAATAAGGAGATAAAATGCATTCGTTGTTGCATTTCTTTCTTTGGTGTTTGCATGAAGCGCAGGCTTGATGTGACGATGAGTTATTGGAGATGTTGTTGTTGTTATTAGAGTTCCTTTGCATCATGTCATCTCCCTAGCCAGTAGTTGAGAATTTGAAAATTTTAAACATACATAATTGTTAGTGTCTTAAAATGTACAGACTAATTAAACAAAAACTAATATTCTAACCAGAAACACATGCGCGAGCTTATATAACAAATAATTCATGTTAGTGCTATAGATTATGTGAATCACATCTGCGTGTGCATATCTATATGCATGAATGGATCTAGTCTACTAACTGAATCATGATGAAAAATAAGGAATAAGAGGAAAATGTACTAAACATTTAAAGTATCTAACAAATCATTCATGTTAGGTGCTATAGATTATGGGAATCGCATCTTTGAGCATAGCTATATGCATGGATGGATCACAATTCACAAGGAAATAAGAGAAAACAAATGTATCTTAGAAGAATAAGAATTTGAACATAGTTTCGAGAAGGGTCATACAAAAACCACTTACCTCCTTTCTTTTCCTTCATTTGTGGGTAAAAAGCAACTGAGGCTATGTGTTTATATCGATAAAAAGGGGCTTATGTGGTGCATAAAGAGTCTAATGAACATGAAAAGATTGTTTGGTTAAGTGAAACAAAAAGGTGTTTGGATGAAGGGTGGATTAGAAGATTTTAGGTTGCTCATGACAAAGGACAATATAACAAACCAGGAAATCAATAAACAATAAGATTTTTTTTTATAATATTATAATGAAGATACTATAATTTCAATAAGTTATTGCTTTCCAGTGTTTTTGGATGAAAATCCATGGATAAATCAGATTATGAACATGTTATGGTGACTGGAACCCGAAACTATGAATAAATTCAGGGGTAGGTCCGTCTTTTCCTAACCAATAACAAACTCTCAGTCTCATCGTGGCTTTGACGTTTATTCAGGGGTAGTTTCGTCTTTTCGTAATCAATAACAAACTCTCCGTCTCAGAATTTGAAATTTAAACTTCACAGTAGTGTACTCTCTTTATAACTTCCCAGCAACAATCACATCTCCGAGAGAGAAGAGAAAGAGCGAGGAAGAAGAAGAATGGGGAGACCAGGAGAGTTTAAGAAGATGACATTAGAGGAATACGTTGATTTCATCGACTCTGGAAACTCCATCGATTTCACCTGCTCCTACCTCAATCAGGTTTCTCTATTTTTCCCCTCTCATATAAGAATCTCATCTCTTCCCTTTCTAACCTTCCGATTCTCGTTCTCTGTATAGATCCTTCACATTCACGGTTTCCGAAAGCTTCACAAATCCAACAAGGTACGCAAATCACCGATCGATCATCTCTTAAATCCCTAGAAATTCGATTAAACCGAAAATTCGTTTGTGATTTTGGTTTAATCGATCGGATTGTAACAGAAAACTGTAGGCGAAGCAGTAGACGCAGTGGAACTACTCGATCTCTCACGCTCTACTCTGAATCAAACCTCCGTCTCGTTATCGGCTTCGTTAACTCTCGATCAAGTGATAACTGACATCGAAGCTCTCAAATGGCAGGAGTGCTGCCTCACCTCTCTCCAGATCATCAACTCCGATCAAATTACTCGATCCGTCGTCGCTAATCCCAAACCGAAATCGAATAAGAGGAAGATCGGTAAAGAGAATAAGAAGAAGAAGAAGATGCGAAGAGCATCAGATCTGTGAACGAAAGCAGCAGCTAATATCGCCACGACGTAATCACTCTCTGATGAAAGTTTCTAATTACAGTTTGTTAATCTTCCTTAATCTCACGTTTGAAACTGATCTATATGCATTATACGAATTATATTATATGACTAAGAACATCGTTAATGAAGCAAAAGTATATATATCTCAATCACATTAAGCAAAAGTATAACTTTCTCGAATCATTTGTACTTTTAATCTTTATATTTTGAATAACTATATTTTCGTCATTTTAATATTTTATATTACAATAATTAATATATTTTCAACTAATAATTCATATTTTAAAATGGAGAAAGCGTTCATATATATATATGAATATATTTGCGCGCCAAGATCATAGTCTCTAGACAACTACGCACCCAAACATCTTTAAGATCAAGAAAAACAAATATTGGAAAATAACAATTCCTTATTTCAAAAACACCCAATTAAGGATATTAAACAACCTTAGTCTCTCTTGTATAGTAGTATTATGATGCTATAATAGTTTTTAATCAATCTCTCGTGCATGCATTTCATGTTTTGGAATCAATATCAACGAGCGAGAGCCAACTTCTGTTTTTGGTATTCCGATGGCAATTTCACATCGGTGGCTAATCCGAGAACCTCGAGTACTCGAATCAGGTACCAAGTGATATCTATCTGCCACCACTCAAAGCCATGCCTTGCTGATGATTCAAATGCATGGTGATTGTTGTGCCAACTATCTCCCATTGTAAATAAGCTTAACCACCTTTATTATATTCAAAAAACCAGATTTGAGACTAATCAAAGATATTTAAATATTCACATATAAAATATTATATTGTCCTGTAATTAGATTACCAAACGTTACGAGATGTGTCTTTAGTCTTCCACGACCTCGAACCCCATATATGGCCGACCGAGTTTACGAGCCATGTCACATGGTACCCGATCGCAACTCCAACTCCCTACAATTAATTATTAAATATAATTATTATTTATTTTATCAATTTTAATTTAGATACATACAAATTAGTTTGCAAAAAAATGCGTATTTACCCCGCAGCAAGTAAGGTAAGGTAAACCACCGTAGAGATAGAGGACGGTCCAAAACATTAAGACGTGGAAACCAATCGTCTTACGTAGAAACCTATAGAACCATTGCTGCTTCAAGTCCATCACGTTGTTACGTCTACCACACTGTTACATAAACTCGCAATGTTACAAACGACATCGTAAGAGAAGATATGAGATTTTTGTACGTATTTATAACGTTACCTTATGTTTTATATAAAAGGTGTCAAAAATCCACATGACATGGCCGAACCAGAACCCTTCGTTAGGGCTATGTGGGTCACGATCTGTATCTGTGAACTGGTGATGGAACCTATGTATGCTCACCCAATCCATCGGATCGCCCTGAAAATATTTAATAATATTTGTTCTTATCATCATACTCCGAAAATACTTAGTTAGAACTTATCAATCAACTGGTTAATTTTTACCTGAAGAGCGAAAACAGTAGAATAGGCGAAAGGATATTCAAGCCATTTTGGGAGCTTGAAGCTCCGGTGAGACAAGTTCCTATGGTATGAAAATGTGATGCCGAGCTGAACAACCGCGAAAAGCACCAGACCGAACCGTAAAGCTTCCCATTTATAGTTAAATGGTGCCAAGAGACACAACAAGTGCACTGTCGTAACGGTTAACGTTCTCATTACATCGAACGTATTCCATTCTCTCTGAAAATACGGCCTTTTTTCCTTACGAACCACGCTGCTTTGGCTAGAGCCATCGTCTCTAGTGGGGTTACACATTTATCGACCGTAGGAGGAACTGTATTATAGTTTGAGTTATATAAGTTTGTATGAACTTATGATTCAACCGAGACAAGAGAAGTGCTTATATAGGGGCTAATGACGGTTGTTAAGGTCTACGTAGTCACCGTCCTTCTTTAATGTTCGCTATCTATCTACTTCTTTCATTTCCAAGATTCCATCTTTAATAACTTGCAGAATATGTTTCCACATCCCAACATGCAACTTTTAATACTCTCTTTATTTCATTTTATTTGATGTTTTAAAAATTTCAATGAAAAACTTTAAGATTATTTGTGTTTTTGACCATTTGTATTCTATAATATTTTTATTAGTTGGATTAGGTTTAGTAAATGCAATTTTATGAAGAAGACAAAATTAATAAAATAAATAATTGTTAATAGGTGTGTAAAAACCTTAAACATCAATTAATTTGAAACAGAAAGAGTATACCATTATCAAAAAAAAAAACTTTCAGCTGTGTTTAAGTGGTATTATTACAGCAGTTCCAATGAAGATTTCTCATTGAAATTCGTATACTGTACTAAAATGTAAAATAAACTCTTTAAACATGAGAATTTATTAAACTCATTAGAAAATCATAGATATTGTTTCTGTGAGACTAATTTGAGTTATATTTTGAAATGTTATTGTTTTATTAAATTAAGTTAAAATATTAATACTTATTTTTATTAGAAACTTTTTCTCTCTAACCGTTGAGTATGCTCATACCAGCTAAGAATTATATATAATTGTCTTTGAATCTTTGAATAGTATTATTCATCTCTATTTAGTACTTAATTAGACATGTTAGACAATTGATTTATCTCCATATGAAAAAAAATTACCGAGAGATCTCCAACAGCCAACGCTCTCCCTTGGGCCAACTTTCTTAAATAACTTTTCTAAGTATATTTATTGGTGACGACCATGTTAATTAGTTTATTACTATTTTATTTGTTTCAATTCAACCAACCATCTTTATTTTCAATTCACTCTTAGCAAATAAGTTATGTCCGGACTTCACGATGGCGTCAAGGCCTCATGCCGGAGGGTTGAGTGAGTAACGGGCATTTTATCTCCACTAGAGGTCCAAGATTTTTCCGGGTTATTTGTGACAATATTTGTAGTTTAGAATACACCATTCTCCAAAAGTATTTTTTTAATCAAAAAATAACTTAGGCTTTAGATATTATTGTTTACGGTTCAATACATAGGGATGGTGTTATAAACTTCTATAAATAATTTTTGAACATTTATAAATGCTTCCTAAGTGTTAGTTTACTCTTTTTTATCATAAACTTAAGATATTTATAAAAAAATAGTTATCATCAAAGATATATATGAAATGGTATAAATTTGTGCTACAATTGGAATTCCCCGTAAACTTTTTGATTTTTTTTTTTATATTTTGGTTGATATTCTTCAAAATAGCTCCAGTTTTATTCTTCGATGATTATTCATATTACTCTTGGAGACTAATATGATGAAAATAACCATATAGTAATCAGATATTCTAAAGATTAACTACATTGATAATACAAAGTAGTCAAACTTTCTAGGGCCTACGATTTGTTGTAGAGTTCGTTTCCCGGTTTTATTTAAGCTCATCGTTGCCTTGTTGTTCAAGGAACCCATTGACCGTTAACAAATTCGAGATGCCTTCTGAGACGATGAAGTGGGTACTGGCACACATCTTCGGTCGTTGGAAAGAAAACGGAGTACGTATCGCCTTCTCGGCCCGTGATCTCACCGAACCACCACGCGCCAAAGGCAAAAACATCAACCTTATCATGGAGGCTAAACATCGACGGCTGAGATGAGTTAGGTGGCATCGGACGGATTTCATCGGCCGAGATTGTTTCTATCAACGGCTGAAGATTTCCACCTTCAGTCACAAGGTTCTTGTACTCAACTTTGTAGGAAGATCCGTGGGGAAGCTTGGACAGTACCTTGGCTTCTAAGTACCCGAAGTGACCATCTTCTTTGCCGCATACTTCAACCAAATCTCCTTCCGAGAACTCGTCCATTGTTGAAAGAGTTGATTTGTTCTCTCACAAAACTGAAGAAGCAAAGCGTGTGAAACCAAATGAGAGAGAAGAAGAAGCAGAAGGGGGTTTAGTGAGCAATGGAGCACTGAAACCAAATATATAAATACTTTGAATATTTGTTCTGCCATTGGAAAAAATGGCAGGTGAAGCTAACCATCATACCAAAAGGAGGAGAGCGATTGGTAGGTAGAGAGTCGTATCAAAACCTCACAGTCTCTTTCACCTAAACTTCTCACAAATCCAATATCATTCATTCACACTGCTACTCCTTTCAACCTGTTAAGAATGTCAGCTTTTAGGTAAATAAGGAGAGTTGTTAACACATCACATGAAAGACTTAACCACTTGATTACTAAATTAAGGTGTGTTGGTGGTTTCTCATGAATGCAAATTGTACATACATACGTTTTTGGTGTTAGAATTGTTTAAACGCTATAATCTAAGTTTCCTAATATAATAAAGTTAATGTTGCTAAAAAAAAAAAATTTGTAAGGCAAGTTTCAGCTCAAAGATACTTACTTACACACATACACACCGATACAACAGCAAAAAAAAATACTGAAAAGTTATTTAGCTGAAACACACTATACAATAGCAAAAAAAAAAATATATACTGAAAAGTTATTTAGCCTAAAAATTAAAGTAACTACTCACCAATTTTTACCAAAAGCTTGTATAAAGTTAATGTAGCTCAAAGAAAATAAATTTTGAAAAACCAAGTTTGAGATCAAAGATACACATACACACACTGATACAATAGAATAAAATACGGATAAAGTTATTTAACTAAACATTAAAAGTAACTACTCAGATATATTTACTTAACGACTATCCAGCTCACAAAACGATCAAGAGTTCTATAAGTGGGAAGATTAATGGTCAAACATCTAAATCAGTGTTCTATACAACTATTACCCCCATGACTCGTGCACATATGATATTATTGTAACGGATGATATCTCCCTCCCACCACCATCTAAAGCACATAGAATCATCACTCTCCACGCTTCGCAAGCAACTATGCAAACACCTATCGTTCATTGGAGCAGATTCATAGCTTCAGGCTTGCATCATAAGCAACAAAAACTTGGAGATTTTGTGAGCCAATATTCTTTCAAAGAAGAAAGTTGGACGCAGAAAACACTTGTTTTTCAAACGTTACGTTATTTGTTTATTTCACATTAATGGACTAATAACATATGTTTTCTTAGCGTGAAACAGGTCAAAGAAGTTCGTCCCCACACACTCTGTTGACTAGGTTCTTCGACATGACATGAATGTATGAATTTTGATTTACAGATATACAAAATTAAATGTATTCACTCTGATTTGATCCAAAAACTGTATTCACTCCTGTTATCCCTGTCTGACAAAATGGCCAATGTGCATAGTAAAAATTCAGAGACTCTTTTTACTATTATATTTTCTTAGTAAAATGTTAAGAATCTTGGTATACTAGTACTAAATTAAAAGAGTGGTTCTATGTAGAGATGTTACTGCTAAAACAAGACAAAAAAAGAAGAAGAGAAAACAATGACAGCACACAGGTATTAATGTCACTGTCAACTTCTGAGAATCTGTTGAAATTGAGATGTAATTCTGACAGGGTTGACAAAGACGGACGAACACCATTGAAAAAATCTTGATGAAAAGGAAAACGGACGGACATGACCACGTGAGACATCATTCATAACTGAGCTGTATATACTTAGTTTAGTTGATTTTCTTCAAAACCATTCGAGTCTTGATTACATGTTTAGCCTCTAATAAGATGCAAATGTTCATTTTATTTGTGTGTTTCTTTAAAACCAAAGAGTACATGATCAGACTGTCAAGGATTTTTGTATCTGTTTGAGAGTTATTCAAGTTGCATGAACATTTAAATGGGCAAGTTATGGTGGTATACGTACATAGACTAATGTTTGTTGCCTTAAGGTCCACGTTGTTAAATGCAATCGCTCACTCTTCTTCAATGCTATCTATCTACTTTTTAAAATAATAAAATTCCACCATATCCGACAGGCAGCACATGATTTCACTGATCCCAACATTCAACTTTCATTACTTGTTGTTTTACAACCTCCTTTTCGATATACCATGTTGGTGAGATGAATTCATGATTCGTTGGGTTACTATTAGTTCAATGATTCACAGTTAAGTAATTGGTTTGTCTCCAAATCAGGACTCAACTAAGGAATGAATATTTACACAGATGAAGATGTTAAAAGACATTTTAAAGTGTCAAACTAATTAGTCCTGAAATCCTAGATATAGTATTTAATCTAAGAAATGCATGTTAATGCTATCTGTGTCTTTTAAAACAATATTGTCTCTATTTTATTATAAGTGTCATTTTAATTTTATGCGCATAGATTGAAAAAATTAATTAATATTACATATTTTTATATAAAACACATAATTACCTATACAAGTAACTATATTTCAACTAATATAAAAATAAATATATAATTAAATTAATAAATTTTGCATTGAAAAAACTAAAAACGATATTTATTTTCTAACAAAAAAAATTATCTATTGTGATACTCACAGAGGGAGTAATATTTTCTACATTACTTAAAATTACAATATATAACTTCCAAGCCTTTGATTTTTCTTGGGACTATATATTAATATCTTAATGTGGAGTAAATTATATTGGTTTTTGTTTCTCAGAAGAAATAAATGTACATAGTGTTATTCACCTATCTTTTTTGTAGCAATTACTCACCTATCTTTTTTTGTAGCAATCACTCTGTAAATAATTGGGTCGATTGATAATTTATGACAAATTTGGATCTGTACGACTTTAGACGGACCGCAAAATTGATATCTCGATCTGATGACATGGAACGTGACTTCGTGAGGTATCCCATTCAGTATTGTATAAAATATACGTATATCTCCTTCGTATAAAATAAACTTTGTTGCTGGTTTATTTCGAATTTTTTATTGAACTTCTCTGAAATGACTTGCTCCTAGATTTGATTATTCGTACACTTGAAGATGGAGACTAATCATGAGATGAAAAAAAATCCATTTAAAAACAAACATCAAACTAGTATTAAGACAGAAGAAGTACAAACATTCATCTATTCCATAAAACAACCATAATCGCGAAAATAACTTTATTCTCAACTTATACATAATACTCTATAATCGTTTGTACTATAGAACTTATAACTTAAATTACTTTTGAAATAAATTTCTGCTTTCTTTCTCATGTGAATAATTTAAATAAAAATCAACGAGCGAGAGCCAACTTCTGTTTTTGGTATTCCGATGGCAATTTCACATCGGTGGCTAATCCGAGAATCTCAAATAATCGAATGAGATACCAAGTTATGTCTATCTGCCACCACTCTAAGCCTTGCCTCGCAGATGATTCAAATGCATGGTGGTTGTTGTGCCAACTCTCTCCCATCGTAAACAAGCTTAGCCACCTTCATTATAATCACAAGATAATCAAATCTTACTTTATCAGTAAACAAGATATATACATAATACATATGCACATATAATTTCTTAGCTTTTCTGTTTCATTTTAAGCTTATTTCCTCTGGGTTATCTGATTCTCATGCCAATACTATAGTACTCGATGTTTCTGATATTTTTTTTTTGCTAAGTATGTTTGTGATAATTTGCTGGTCAACCCTCCAATTTAATGTTTTTAATGATAACTGATAAGTTAACTAGTTTTTTTTTATTTGCTAATTTAAGTTAATTAGTTGAACTAATAATACATGAGTCTTAATACCATCTCTGTTCTTAAAAGATCCATATTCTAGTTTTTTTCATACTTTTTAATAAAACACAATAAATTTGCATAGTTTTTTATATTTATCTTATTTCCATAATTTTAAATCAATAAAAAATCAAATTGCAATTAAGTTTTTTGAAGTTTACAATTAGTTAATGAATCATACATTGAAAATGTAAAAATGAATCTTTTAGAAACAATTTTTTTTTGTCTAGAATATGTATTTTTAAGAAACGGAGAAAATATTATATTACCAAACATTACGAGATGTGTCTTTAGTATTCCACGACCTAGACCCACAAATATGGCATGCTGAGTTTACGAGCCATGTCAAGTGGTACCCCAGCACACCTCCAACACCCTGTCATCAAATAAAATTACATTCATAATTAACTAACTGTTATATCAAGTTACAGGCTAGGCCAAGTTCAAAAAAAAGAGTTACAGGCTAGGCCTTTTTTACTCAACTAGACCACCGTTAAGATGTTCCATACAAATTATTTTGCAAAAAAATGTAACAAAAAAAGAAAAAAAAAACGATTTACCCCGCCGCATGTAAGGTAAGGTAAACCACCGTAGAGATAGAGAACGGTCCAAAACATTAAGACGTGGAAACCAATTGTCTTTCGCAGAAACCTATAGAACCATTGTTGCTTCAAGTCCATCACGTTGTTACGTCCACCACACTGTTGCATTGTTTCACAATGTTACAAACGACATGATAATTAGTCATATTAATTAGAAGAAGATGAGAGATTTGTACGTATACGTTACCTTATATTTTATATAAAGCGTGTCGAATATCCACATGACATGGCTGAACAAAAATCCTTCCCTAGGACTATGTGGGTCACGGCCCGAATCTGTAAACTGGTGATGGAACCTATGTATGCTCACCCAGTCCAATGGATCACCCTGGATATAATAATAATAAAAAAATTATTCTAATCATAATTCAAATTTTTTCTTATGACATAAAAGCTGAAATCACTTATCAATAGGTTAACATATATAAATAAATAATAAACCGGTTTTTTGACCTGAAGAGCGAAAACAGCAGCGTAAGCAATAGGATATTCAAGCCATTTCGGGAGCTTAAAGCTCCGATGAGCCAAGTTCCTATGGTACGAGAATGTGATGAGCAGGTTAGTCACTGTGACCAGAATCAAACCGAACCGTAATGCTTCCCATGTGTAGTTAAATGGCGCCAGGAGACACCAAAAGTGAACAATCATAACGGTTAACGCTCTTGCAACATCGGCCCAAGTCCAATATCTCTGAAAATAAGCTCTTTTTTCCTTACACACCAAGCCGCTTTGGTTAGAACCACTCTCTTTAGTGGGATTACACATCTCGGACCAGTGAGGAACACTATTGCACTTTGCTTGTTTTAGTTAAAACTTATTAAGTTGTATGAACATAAGAGTGTGCAGATATGGGTATATATATATACAAGAGCTAAAATGTTGTTGCGTCGTGGTCCACTTTGATAAATGCAGTTCAACAACTCTTCTATCCACTTTAATATTCATCTTTAATACCATAGCAGCAGCACTTGTTTACTACTACTGTATCTACTCACCTGCTAACGCTTAATTTTTGTATTGTCTCCAAACGAGGATCTAAACTAAGCAAACTGCCATTGCTATTTCGTTTAATTACCGAGTTTCTTAATACGTATATATGTCATTTAAATACGTACGTATTAGCTTAGCTATCTCGACTTCAAATCTGGTATTCTGTCTATTGTGGTTGTACTAACAATGTTCTTTTTTTGTCATCTATAATGTACTTATATATTTATAGTTATATTAAAAAAATAGTAGAGAAGAAAAAAATACTTATACCATAGTTTTAAATTTGATCCAAGATTATACCATACCACTTAAGCAATGATATATATGTATCGTCTTCGATTTACTAAACTCACAAGTCACAAGTCTTAACATATTTGACGTATCTCCATCTTTCACTCGATAAAAACTTTATTCGTTAGAATATGCACATTATTTTGCTAATGAAACTACTTCTATCATGAATGTACATAGTTTCTCATAAAAACATATGCGTTACAAATTGATCATGAATTGAAAAATCATAGGTCCAAAAAAGGAAAAAAAACGTAGAAGAATCCATATATAGTGAAACCTACATTGACAAGGCAACAAATATTTCACCCAACACTCATCAACATGAGAGACAAGTTAATTTAATCCCTATTCCCTACCATGAGAAAATTCAGTGAGAAAGTAAGTAAACGTCGTTAACACGCCGTCAAAATCCATAATGGGCTTTAGGACTCGTTTACATTCCAAAGCAGGCCCAACTTTGGATTCACAGCTCTTATATAATATGGGCCTCATTTAACTGTTGATGGGCTTATAGCATTAAAAGCCCGTTTTCTTTGTGTATTTTGGTTCGGTGGTGAAAGTATGTATACGAGAAACGTATCATCTCTCATTTCTAATCTCTCGTTCGTATCTTCCTCTCTTCTTCTTCTTCTGATTCTCATCCCCTTCTTCTGTTTCTCAACTTCTCTCTCTGTCACAGAGCTAACAGATTCTCCATCTGCTAAAAGAAAGAAGAAGGTGGGGGTTTCCAAATCCAAAGTGATTCTCGATTTCAATTTCCCTTCTGGATTACTGAATTTAGGGATCGGATCCCTTCGATTTCGATTTTCCTTTATCTTAATAGTGATAATTAGGTTGTTATCTCATAGATCTTGCTTTAGGATGATAGGTGATATAGGTCAATTTCGTTCGATTTCATTTTGCTATTTACGCTCAGTTTTTGATTCAAACTCTCAATTAGGGTTAATGGGTATCCAAATAACTGATAAAGTTTTGTTTTTTATTCTTTTTTTTTAATTTCAGATTTATTGAATTAGTTGCGCCATTGGAGACAGCGAAGATGATTTCTAGGTCGTACACGAATTTGCTAGACTTGGCTTCAGGGAACTTCCCTGTAATGGGGAGAGAGCCACGTAGGCGTCTCCCTAGGGTTATGACAGTCCCCGGTAACGTCTCCGAGTTTGACGACGATCAAGCCTATAGTGTCTCCTCTGATAACCCCTCCTCGGTTTCCTCTGACCGTATGATCATTGTCGCGAATCGTCTTCCCTTGAAGGCTGAGAGACGAAACGGAAGCTGGAGTTTCAGCTGGGACCAAGACGCTTTGTATCTGCAGCTTAAGGATGGTTTACCTGAGGATATGGAGGTGTTATACGTTGGTTCTTTGAGTGTCGACGTTGATTCATATGAGCAAGATGACGTGGAGCAGATACTGTTCGATAAGTTTAAATGTGTTCCCACTTTTCTCCCACCTGATTTGCAGTCTAAGTTCTACGACGGGTTTTGCAAGAGGCAGTTATGGCCACTCTTCCATTACATGCTTCCGTTTACAGCTGATCACGGTACGAGGTTTGATAGGTCGCTTTGGGAGGCTTATGTAGCGACGAACAAGCTTTTCTTCCAGAAAGTTATCCAGGTTATAAACCCTGATGATGATTATGTTTGGATTCATGATTACCATTTGATGGTCTTGCCTTCGTTTCTTAGAAGACGGTTTAACCGGATTAGGATGGGTTTTTTCCTCCATAGTCCGTTCCCGTCGTCAGAGATATACAGGTCTCTTCCTGTTCGTGAAGAGATTCTTAAGGCGTTGCTAAACAGTGACCTTATTGGTTTCCACACGTTTGACTATGCTCGTCACTTCCTCACTTGCTGCAGTCGGATGTTGGGTCTGGAGTATCAGTCTAAGAGAGGATACATAGGGCTGGAGTATTACGGTAGGACTGTGGGAATAAAGATTATGCCAGTAGGGATCAACATGGGTCGGATTCAAACGGTTATGAGATATTCAGAGGAGGAGGGTAAGGTGATGGAGCTTAGAAAGCGTTACGAAGGTAAGACGGTGTTGCTTGGTATTGATGACATGGATATCTTCAAGGGCATAAACTTGAAGCTTCTAGCGATGGAACAAATGCTTAATCAGCACTCGAATTGGAGGGGAAGGGCTGTCCTGGTACAGATTGTAAATCCTGCTAGGGGTAAAGGTATTGATATAGACGAAATACGTGGTGAAATTGAAGGAAGCTGCAGGAGGATCAATGCAGAGTTTGGGAAACCTGGATATCAGCCTATCGTATATATTGATACTCCGGTGTCAATAAATGAAATCATTGCTTATTACCATATCGCTGAGTGTGTAGTTGTTACAGCTGTTAGAGATGGTATGAACCTTACTCCCTATGAATATATAGTGTGCAGACAGGGTCTGCTCGGGTCTGAATCAGATTTTAATGGTCCAAAGAAGAGCATGTTGGTTGCATCGGAGTTTATTGGATGTTCTCCTTCGCTTAGTGGGGCTATACGGGTGAACCCATGGAACGTGGAAGCGACCGGAGAAGCTCTTAATGAGGCTCTCTCGATGGGTGATCCTGAGAAACAACTCCGACATGAGAAACATTTCCGGTATGTTAGTACTCACGATGTTGCTTTTTGGTCAAGAAGTTTCTTGCAAGATCTAGAGAGGATATGTGTGGACCATTTCAAGAAAAGGTGTTGGGGGATGGGGATTAGTTTTGGTTTCAGAGTTGTGGCTCTCGATCCTAACTTTAGAAAGCTTTCAATACCATGCATTGTGTCGGACTATAAAAGGGCGAAAAGCAGAGCTATACTGTTGGATTATGATGGCACTTTGATGCCTCAAAACTCCGTCAATAAAGCTCCCAGCCAGGAAGTTCTTAACTTCTTGAATGCACTTTGTGAGGACAAGAAGAATTCGATTTTCATTGTCAGCGGAAGAGGAAGGGAAAGCTTAGGCAAATGGTTCTCTCCATGCGAAAACATTGGAATTGCAGCTGAGCATGGATACTTCTTAAAGTAAAATCCTTGTCTTTAGTATTTAAATGTGTTTAATTCATTCTCCTTCAGTGTTAATAACATGTCTTTTATACATATAGGTGGCCAGGGAAAACAGAATGGGAAACATGTGGTCAGAGCTGTGATTTTGGGTGGATGCAGATCGTGGAACCTGTAATGAAACAGTACACCGAAGCTACGGATGGCTCTTCCATAGAAATTAAAGACAGTGCTTTGGTTTGGCAATATAGAGATGCGGATTCTGGCTTTGGTTCTTTGCAAGCAAAGGAAATGTTGGAGCATTTAGAGAGTGTTCTAGCTAATGAGCCTGTTGCAGTCAAAAGCGGCCACTACATCGTAGAAGTCAAGCCTCAGGTAAGTGATTTTCCTTAATGTTATGGAATAGTATCAATAGCTCATGGCAACTCAATTCATGTTTTTTTATATAGGGAGTGAGCAAAGGATCTGTGTCAGAGAAGATATTTTCATCAATGGATGAGAAGGGAAAACCAGTTGATTTCGTGCTATGTATTGGAGATGACCGATCTGACGAAGACATGTTTGAAGCAATTGGTAATGCCATGTCGAAAAGATTGATCTGTGACAATGCTCTCGTCTTTGCATGCACAGTTGGGCAAAAGCCAAGCAAGGCTAAATATTATTTGGACGATACTATGGAAGTAACAAGCATGCTTGAATCTCTAGCTGAAGCATCAGAGGCTTCAAACTTCTCTATGCATGAACTTGATGAAGCCCTTTGATTTTGAAACCAGAGTCTTTGCCAGGTTTTGCTCTTTTATGATCTCAGTTTCAATTCTATTTTGCTCTGTTTCTGCAAGAAGATGAAAATGGTGAATCTGGAGCTTTGTTATCATTGCAGGATGTTGAAGTAACAAGCAAAAGCATTTCCTGATCGTTGCTCTTTATTTATTTTATTATTATTACTACTATTTGTTATTGTAATTGGATGATCTTGAGAAACTATGAATTTGGATTGTGAAAAAATGTTATGCAAAGACTGGATAACTTGCGTGGAAACCATTGTTGAGAATTTTTAATTATACAATTTTCGTTCTCTTTCTCTCTGTAGTTTTTGTTAAACCGTTATGGTTCTGTAAAAACTCTTTTTTATTCTATATATAACTGAGTTCGTCTATATACTCCAACTAAACATACTTGTTACACAATATGGGAAGTAGTATCTTTAGATATACACAAGAAGCGATTCAAAGGTCTCTTTACTCAAACAGAAGCTGGTGTGGGTGTTGATGTTGACGTTGAGGAAGAAGCCACACGGTTTTCAGGAGGAATCTCTGTAAATTCTGATAGGATTGCTCGGAACTCATCACCTGACATGGTCTCTTTCTCGAGAAGTACTTCAACAATCTTGTCCATGGCTTCACGGTTGTTCCTTATGTGTCCCAAAGCTATCTCGTATGCCCTGTCTGATAGTGTCTTCACCGCTGAATCTATGTCATTTGCAAGCTTCTCAGACATGGAGTTTCTAGCCATCATCCTCATAATGACATCGCTTTGCGCTGATGAGTCCATTAGCGACCATGGTCCGATTTCAGACATCCCAAATGTTGTAACCATCTGCAAATATATATAAGCATCAAACATCATGAAGGCTAACAGAACAGAAAGTGAAACTGGGACTGTTACCTGCTTAGCTAAACCGGTGATCTGTTGCAAGTCACCAACTGCACCAGTTGTGACCTCAGGCTCACCAAATATGACTTCTTCAGCAGCTCTACCACCGAGTCCACCAACAATTCTCGCAAATAGTTGCTGTTTGGAGATTAAAGTTGGATCATCTGAGGGAATGAACCAAGTCAGACCTCTCGCTTGTCCTCTTGGTATCAATGTGACCTTTTGAACAGCATCATGTCCTGGAGTCAATGTTCTGCAAGAACAAAAAAGTTTAAGCTCTAGATAACACACATACAGACATGCAGTCACATGCTTCTAATCTGATTCTGACTTACCCACAGACGGCGTGGCCAACTTCATGGTAAGCAACCAAGCTTTTGCTCTTCCCATCTGTCATGACAGTTCCTTCCATCCCAGCTACAATTCTATCAATCGAGTCATCAATCTCTTTTGATGATATTGCTGTCTTTCCACGTCGTCCAGCCAATATGGCCGCCTCGTTCAAGAGATTTGCAAGATCAGCTCCGCTAAATCCAGGCGTTCTCATGGCTATTACTTCAAGTGAAACACCATTCTCAAATTTCTTATTCCCGGAGTGAACCTTGAGTATATCTGTTCTTCCCTTAACATCTGGAACATCAACAGACACCTGCCGGTCAAAACGCCCCGGTCTCAACAAGGCAGAGTCAAGTATATCAGCTCTATTAGTTGCAGCAACAACAATAACACCAGTGTTACCCTCAAAACCATCCATCTCAGTCAAGAGCTGGTTCAAGGTCTGCTCTCTTTCATCATTACCTCCACCAATTCCAGTTCCTCTCTGCCTGCCAACAGCATCAATCTCATCCACAAAGACAATACACGGAGCATTCTCTTTAGCCTTTTTGAAAAGATCACGGACCCTTGAAGCACCAACACCAACAAACATCTCAACAAACTCAGAACCTGATATTGAAAAGAACGGTACACCAGCTTCACCAGCAATAGCCTTTGCTAACAGAGTTTTACCAGTACCAGGAGGACCAACAAGGAGAACACCTTTAGGAATCCGAGCACCAACCGCAGTAAACCTCTCAGGCTTCTTCAGAAACTCCACCACTTCCATAAAATCCTGCTTAGCTTCATCAACTCCAGCAACATCATCAAAAGTCACACCAGTGTTCGGCTCCATCTGGAACTTTGCTTTGGACTGACCAATCTGAAGTGGGAAGCCAGGACCGCCAGGACCACCACCCATTCCACCAGAAGACCGTCTCGAGAGAAGAAACAAACAACCAATCAGAATCACAGGAAACGCGAGATTCCCAATCAAGTTAAGCAACGGAGAGCCTTGGTCTTCCTGAGCATTATGTGCTGCAAAATCAATATTCTTTGCCCTCAACTTCTGTAAAAGCTCCTGACTCAACCCCGGTAGCTGCACACGTACACGCTGGATCCTATTACCCAACTCAGGAGAAACAGCCTCCACAATAGCTATTGTCCCGTTCTCATACAAATCTACTTTATCAACTCTTCCTTTGTCTAAATACTCAAGGAACCTAGAGTAAGACATCCTAGACGAAGAAACCTCTTGTTCATCAGCTGCATTTGCTTTCCCAGTTCCAAGAAAACTCACTCCAGCTGCTGCTGCGGCGTTTCCAAGTAAAAGCTTAAAGAAGCCTCTTCTTGCTTCATGTTTGTTCACATCCAAAGAAGCCTTCACAACAGTAACTTTAGATGTCCTATTAAACGTTGAAGAGAGACCAAAGTTTTTAGACTTTTGTTTGGTTGCGTGGAGAGATAATCCGCTCCCGATAAGACAAGCCGATGAAGCAGCCATTTGCACTGTACATATATTTCAACAAGAACAGTGAATGGTTTAGATTATTATAAAAAATACACAGAGATCCAAACCAATAACAAGTAAACAAAACGAAGAACGGATTGAATTGGAACATGCAAGTTTATGGTAACAGTAAAATCAACATGAGCGACCATCACATAAACCTTTTCTATAATCAATCGAAATAGCTACTGAGTGTGACATTAATGTCAATGTTATTATCTCTCCTATTCAATTGAAGTTCCTCAAATTCAATTAAGCAAAAGAAAAAAAAAAAAAAAGCTCGAATCGACGAGATCGGACTAGCTGAAGAAACAGTGAATCAATAAACAAGAAGACGAGATTACACAGAAAAAAAATCAGAGGAAAAAGCTATGAGTGAAAAGAATCACACCTGCTGTGGAAATTTGAAAGAGGAAGAAGAAGCTTATGCGTTAGAATAATTTTTTGGAGAAGAGAGTTTGATTTTTGAAGAGAAGAAGAGATGTGGTTTTAGAACATCTTACGTGTCTTCTTCTCAGTGGATTGTTGGCTAATTCCTTAAAACCCATGATTTAATTTATTTTTTATCTTTCTCAGACATATATTATTACATAAAAAATGTTTAGTTAATTTTTCTATTTTTTTTTTTTTGAGAAAGGGCTTTTTCCCATCTTTTTCACACCATAAAAAAAAACCAATATATATTTTGTTAGCATCATACAAAAATACCCAATAATGAATTATCTATATTTTTTACCTCTAATTGATACCTATAAAGGTTAAGAAAAAGATTGCAATTAGAGATGTAGTTTTCATTCCAAAAGGCAAAAATGTATAACAAAAAAGAGGAGTTTTAGTAGCACAAGGAAAGCCACATGCATCATATAGCAACCAAGCAAATTCCAATTCCAAAGAATGAAAGCCGTATTGAGTTTGAATAGTTTCTAACTTCATGTCGACATAACCATACAAAGTAGTAGTCAAAGACGGATCAAATCATCTCTAGTAAAATAAACGCTCACTTATGCCTCAAGTCATTTGAACTTTTTTCCTGCTAAAACACTGCTTGTTAGCTGCAGGAGGACCCTTGATCTTGTCGGGATTAGTTTAGGCAAAACACCACAGGAGTCAGAGCTTATCAACGCATGTGCAGTCAAAGAGACTCAAGATTGCTTGGTTCTTGGTAGTAATCAGCCTTATTTTTTATATTTATATATATATGGATTGTTTACATGGCTTACACTATTAACTGAGCATATGATAAATTAAGACCAAACTATTTTACATATCTCTCATCAATTATTGCTTTTTCTTCCCCTTCTTCCACACAAACAGCATATATTATACAAACAGTTTACTGTAAACGTATATGGTTCCAGAACGATGACCCCTCAAAGCTTTGGAATCACTACTCTCAGGATCCCATCCCTGCTCCACATGCAAATATTTAATTGGTATTAGTGCTCTATATGAAACTTGACTTGTTCTAGATAACTTTATATAATCTGATGACATGTATTAAGAGTTTGAAATCGGAATCCAAAACCACTAGTTTTTAGGTGTGCACTAGCTAAAACCACTAATCATAATGTTGGGCTGTAGACAAGTATAGTTTCTACTTACATAAATTCAGCAGAAACGTTATCCTTGTTCACATTGCTAGGTAATGGCCAGGAAACTTTGAATGGTCCTTGTAGTATTTCTTGCTTGTGATACCCACAGATTGAACCTTTGGTGCCTGCATCAACTTTTTGACAGACAGCTGTGCGTCTACCTGTCACAGTCAAGCTGCAACGGTAGCACGGTAAGTATCTCTGTTACCTAATGCATACAAGTGTCTGTGTAATGGGAACAAATTGAAAAGATCTGTGAGGATGAGTTTTAGTTACTTTATGTTGTCGACCTCCACTCTTATATCATTGATACTGGCCCCTGGTAGCTCTACTGCCACAACATAGTTATGTTCATATTCTGCAACATTCGATCTCGGAGACCAAACACCCCCTGCAAAAAGAAAACAAGCTTTGCATTAGTTCTCATGTGTATCAACGAAGATGTAATTGACTGAACTACGGTTACTAGTTATTAGATATAACAACTGTGTGTTTGCAGTATTAGAAAACATTGAGTTATACAGAAAATGTATCATATAATAGGATAAAAAGAGTAATGTAACAGGTATCCTATATTTATTTATATGCGTACCTGGATTGGCTAACTTAGGAAGGTCAGGGTTATATGGCTTTTCCAAGTTTTTCTTTGGCTGGTTTAACAAATCAGAAGAGACAAGGAACTCTGCTTTTGCGGTCGGCTTGGAAAACTGTGGTGGGGCGTACTCAGGTCTGGAAAGCAATGGTTGTTGTTGTGAAGAAGGGATCGCAAAGGACTTAGTAGATGCAGAGTCCTGTAGTATGGTCCTCTGCACACAAAATTTGATCATAAGAAAGTATAGGATCGTTTGCAACTTTTAATCACCAAACAAGATGATGAAGTTAACTAAGGAGTTTTCATGGTACCTCATCAGTGGAAGCCTGCCTCATGAAAGGACCTTGTGCAGAAGATGCTTGTCGAGCAAAATAGAGTCTGTTGTCACCTCTTCTAATGACAGAGTTCTTCAAAGTGATGGCGCCAGTCTGAGGTATAAACTGAACAAAGACAAAAGTAACGACTCAAAAAAAAAAAAAACTATATATGCATCTCAGCTTCGCAGACATGGAGAGTGTTTTTTTGGTACCTGGTCAGTGGAAGCCTGCCTCATGAAAAAGCCTTGTTCAGAAGATGCTTGGCGAGCAAAAGCAATTTTGTTGTCACAGCTTCTGATGACAGAGTTCAAACTGCTACTACAGTTCTGAAGCATACACAAATGAAAATAGATTCATAAAAGCAGAAACAAAAGAAGCCAAAGCAAACTATCTGAGGCAGATCAAAGAAAATCATATCGGCAAAGGGAGATCGTTCTATTAAGCTAGATGGGCTTCCAATCTAAAACCAATTGATTATAAGCGGAGTGGCGTATCTATCTTATATACTAGTTTTAGGTTGGAAGGCCATCTACGTTCTACTACATCCGATCAAGATTAGAAAAATCATCTCACGAGTAAAGAACTCCACAAAGCTAAAAACCTAATTCAGATTCTTACCAAGGGGACGAGAGAAGCGGTGGAGATGGGATCGTTGGTTACTGAGGGGAAGTGAGCGGCGACGGTAGAGAGTCTGCGCTTAGCGGTGGTGGAATCGAGCTCCATATCTCTCTGATTACTTTCGAGCTGTGGTGATCGAGTGGAAGAAAGGGGGAGAGAAAACAAAAGGATGAGAAGAAAAATGTGTGGCTTTAACTTTGCGCGCGTTATTCGAAAAATATCTTCTCATTTAGTGGGCTTGTGGGGTTTGATTTGATGGGCCTGCGGTGATTGATTGGATTAGACATACATTAAAGACAATGACCCGTGTTGAGAAAATAAATAAATATCTCCAGCGGTAAACTTTGTTAAGAAAAATTTGAAATAATGTCCATGTACCATGAAAATAATTTTAACATACATTAATACTAATTTAGAATGTGATTAGGTAATTTTTATCAACAATAAAGAGTCTAAACTTTTTATAAAGCATTTATCGATAGGGGTTAGCCCACGTATTTCAAGAAAAATAAGAAAAAATAAATTTTTTGTTTTATTGCATAGCTACATCATGCACTGACATAGTATGAATATTAAAGAGGTTTAATACCCTAGATGTTTTCATTTCTCTAGAAAATAGAGTTTTTATAGGGATTAGTCTACTTAATAGATGGTATGTGAAGTTTAAATAAATTACTTAATAAAAAATTAGAAATGATGCCCATCTACCATGAAAATAAGTTTACCATACATATAAATATATTTTGGTGTGATAAGTTAATTGTAAATAACACTAAAGAGATTAAATATTACAAATAGCATTTATCAGAAAATTCAGTATTTTCGTAGGGGGTTTAACCCACATATTTCAAGAAAAATAAGAAAAAATGAAAATTTTGTTTTATTGCATAGCTACATCATGCACTGACATAGTATGAATATTAAAGAGGTTTAAGACCTTAGATGTTTTCATTTCTCTAGAAAATAGAGTTTTTATAGGGGTTAGTCTATTTAATAGATGGTATATGAAGTTTAAATAAATTACTTAATAAAAAATTAGAAATGATGCCCATCTACAATGAAAATAAGTTTACCATACATATAAATACGTTTTGGTGTGATTAGTTAACTGTAAATAACACTAAAGAGATTAAATATTACAAATAGCATTTATCAGAAAATTTAGTATTTTCGTAGGGGTTAGCCCACAAATTTCAAGAAAAATAAGAAAAAAATGAAATTTTTGTTTTATTGCTTAGCTACATCATGCACTCACATAGTATGAATATTAAAGAGGTTTAATACCTTAGATGTTTTTCTCTAGAAAATAGAGTTTTTATAGGGGTTAGTCTACTTAATAGATGGTATATGAAGTTTAAATAAATTACTTAATAAAAAATTAAAAATGATGCCCATCTACCATGAAAATAAGTTTACCATACATATAATAAAGGGTTTTTTGTGTGATTACTTATTTGTAAATAACACTAAAGTGATTAAATATTATAGATAGCATATATAAGAAAATTCAGTATTTTCGTAGGGGTTTTTGCCCACATATTTCAAGAAAAACAAGAAAAAATGAAATTTTTTTTTTATTGCATAGATACATCATGCACTGACATAGTATGAATATTAAAGAGGTTTAAGACCGTAGATGTTTTCATTTCTCTAGAAAATATAGTTTTTATAGGGGTTAGTCTACTTAATAGATGGTATATGAAGTTTAAATAAATTACTTAATAAAAAATTGGAAAAGATTCCCATCTACCATGAAAATAAGTTTACCATACATATAAATACGTTTTAGTGTGATTAGTTAATTGTAAATAACACTAAAAAGATTAAATATTACAAATAGCAGTTATTAGAAAATTCAGTATTTTCGTAGGGGTTAGCCCACATATTTCAAGAAAAATAAGAAAAAATGAAATTTTTGTTTTATTGCATAGCTACATCATGCACTGACATAGTATGAATATTAAAGAGGTTTAAGACCTTAGATGTTTTCATTTCTCTAGAAAATAGAGTTTTTATAGAGGTTAGTCTACTTAATAGATGGTATATGAACTTTAAATAAATTACTTAATAAAATATTAGAAATGATGTCCATCCACCATGAAAATAAGTTTACCGTACATATAAATATGTTTTGGTGTGATTAGTTAATTGTAAATAACACTAAAGAGATTAAATATTACAAATAGCATTTATCAGAAAATTCAGTATTTTCGTAGGGGGTTTAACCCACATATTTCAAGAAAAATAAGAAAAAATGAAATTTTTGTTTTATTGCATAGCTACATCATGCACGGACATAGTATGAATATTAAAGAGGTTTAATACCTTAGATATTTTCATTTCTCTAGAAAATAGAGTTTTTATAGGGGTTAGTCTACTTAATAGATGGTATGTGAAGTTTAAATAAATTACTTAATAAAAAATTAGAAATGATGCCCATCTACCATGAAAATAAGTTTATCATACATATAAATACGTTTTGGTGTGATTAGTTAATTGTAAATAACACTAAAGAGATTAAATATTACAAATAGCATTTATCAGAAAATTCTGTATTTTCGTAGGGGTTAGCCCACATATTTCAAGAAAAATAAGAAAAAATGAAAATTTTGTTTTATTGCATAGATACATCATGCACTGGCATAGTATGAATATTAAAGAGGTTTAAGACCTTAGATGTTTCCATTTCTTTAGAAAATAGAGATTTTTATAGGGCTTATTTCACTTATTAGGTGTTGTATGAAGTTTAAGTAAACTACTTAATAAAAAATTAGAAATGATGCCCATCTACCATGAAAATAAGTTTACCATACATATAATAAAGGTTTTTTGTATGATTATTTAATTGTAAATAACACTAAAGAGATTAAATATTATAGATAGCATATATCAGAAAATTCAGTATTTTCGTAAGGGTTAGCCCACATATTTCAAGAAAAATAAGAAAAAATAAAAATTTTGTTTTATTGCGTAGCTACATCATGCACTGACATAGTATGAATATTAAAGAGGTTTAAGACCTTAGATGTTTTCATTTCTCTAGAAAATAGAGTTTTTATAGGGGTTAGTCTACTTAATAGATGGTATATGAATTTTAAATAAATTACTTAATAGAAGATTAGAAACGATGCCCATCTACCAGGAAAATAAGTTTACCATACATATAAATATGTTTTGGTGTGATTAGTTAATTGTAAATAACACTAAAGAGATTAAATATTACAAATAGCATTTATCAGAAAATTCGGTATTTTCGTAGGGGGGTTAGCCCACATATTTCAAGAAAAATAAGAAAAAAATGAAAATTTTGTTTTATTGCATAGCTACATCATGCACGGACATAGTATGAATATTAAAAAGGTTTAATACCTTAGATGTTTTCATTTTTCTAGAAAATAGAGTTTTTATAGGGGTTAGTCTACTTAATAGATGGTATGTGAAGTTTAAATAAATTACTTAATAAAAAATTATAAATGATGCCTATCTACCATGAAAATAAGTTTACCATACATATAAATACATTTTGGTGTGATTAGTTAATTGTAAATAACACTAAAGAGATTAAATATTACAAATAGCATTTATCAGAAAATTTTGTATTTTCGTAGGGGTTAGCCCACATATTTCAAGAAAAATAAGAAAAAATGAAACTTTTGTTTTATTGCATAGCTACATCATGCACTGACATATTATGAATATTAAAGAGGTTTAAGACCTTAGATGTTTCCATTTCTTTATAAAATAGAGATTTTATTGGGGTTATTTCACTTATTAGGTGTTGTATGAAGTTTAAGTAAATTACTTAATAAAAAATTAGAAATGATGCCCACATATTTCAAGAAAAATAAGAAAAATGAAATTTTTATTTAATTGCATAGCTACATCATGCACTGACATAGTATGAATATTAAAGAGGTTTAATACCTTAGATGTTTTCATTTCTCTAGAAAATAGATTTTTTATAGGGGTTAGTCTACTTAATAAATGGTATGTGAAGTTTAAATAAATTACTTAATAAAAAATTAGAAATGATGCCCATCTACCATGAAAATAAGTTTACCATACATATAAATACGGTTTGGTGAGATTAGTTAATTGTAAATAACACTAAAGATATTAAATATTACAAATAGCATTTATCAGAAAATTCAGTATTTTCGTAGGGGGGGTTAGCCCACATATTTCAAGAAAAATAAGAAAAATAAGAAAAAATGAAAATTTTGTTTTATTGCATAGCTACATCATGCACGGAAATAGTATGAATATTGAAGAGGTTTAATACCTTAGATGTTTTCATTTCTCTAGAAAATAGAGTTTTTATAGGGGTTAGTCTACTTAATAGATGGTATGTGAAGTTTAAATAAATTACTTAATAAAAAATTAGAAATGATGCCCATCTACCATGAAAATAAGTTTACCATACATATAAATACGTTTTGGTGTGATTAGTTAATTGTAAATATCACTAAAGAGATTAAATATTACAAATAGCATTTATCAGAAAATTCTGTATTTTCGTAGGGGTTAGCCCACATATTTCAAGAAAAATAAGAAAAAATGAAATTTTTGTTTTATTGCATAGCTACATCATGCACTGACATAGTATGACTATTAAAGAGGTCTAAGACCTTGGATGTTTCCATTTCTTTAGAAAATAGAGATTTTATAGGGGTTATTTCACTTATTAGGTGTTGTATGAAGTTTAAGTAAATTACTTAATAAAAAATTAGAAATGATGCCCATCTACCATGAAAATAAGTTTACCATACATATAATAAAGGTTTTTTGTGTGATTAGTTATTTGTAAATAACTCTAAAGAGATTAAATATTATAGATAGAATATCTCAGAAAATTCAGTATTTTCGTAGGGGTTAGCCCACATATTTCAAGAAAAATAAGAAAAAAATGAAATTTTTGTTTTATCGCATGGCTACATCATGCACTCACATAGTATGAATATTAAAGAGGTTTAAGACCTTAGATGTTTTACTTTCTCTAGAAAATAGAGTTTTTATAGGGGTTAGTCTACTTAATAGATGGTATATGAAGTTTAAGTAAATTACTTAATAAAAAATTAGAAATGATGCCCATCTACCATGAAAATAAGTTTACCATACATATAATAAAGGTTTTTTGTGTGATTAGTTATCTGTAAATAACTCTAAAGAGATTAAATATTATAGATAGCATATAT